GAGTTCCTAGAATCTATCATTGAATACCATGTATTATTTTTGTGTTTTTTATTTTACTTGAAAATCATATTATGTCAATAATATTCTAGACTTCAATGGTGATTGCATTTGTTTGGCCAATCCTTGCATTGTTACTTTGAATTGTGCATGCCTCAATTTTCCTTGCTATCTGATTCTACTTTTAAGTTTATATTATTATTTCTTTCTGTAATTTCCGTTTGCCAAAATTGAATAAAAAAAATCAAGAAAAAAATTATTATTTATCAATACAGATCTGATGGTGGCCTTCCTAGTCGATGGCTTTACAAGCGATGAACTGATTATGTAAGGTGTTCACTCTACATACTTTTTAAGTTTCATAACCTGAGCAGGCTTAGGTGGTTCCCAACTTCTAGATCGTGACCGAGACGAACTCGAGTCCGAACTGGATCTTCCACGACAACCATACGCCCGTGATGAACGATCGCGGGATCGTGAACGGCTATATCTACCACGAGACCGGGACCTTGAACGTCGTCTGTCGTAGAAGCGCTTCCCACGAGGTCGAGAATGATCACTAGAACTACTACTGGAAGAGCGTCCTCTATGCCGGAAGTACTTTCCAACACGTTCTCTTGAACGCTCTCTTGAACGAGAGCGTGAACGAGAGCGAGAACGCCTTCGCCTGTCCCGTGATCTTGAAGGTGAGGGAGACGATGAACTTGAAGATGACTGTCGGGAACGTTTCCTAAAAATCAAAGAGATAAACGAAACATAATAACCAAGTAAAACATGCTTTTACCTATTAATTTTACTGTAACTTGTAAAATATTTTAATAAATTGAAATAATTTTTTACAGAATCTGTAATTTAATATAAATAAACAAAGGTTCATGAAAAAAAAACAAAGGTTTTGATAACGTCAGTCCAGCTAAACCACTTACCTATACACATACAAATGACAAACTAAAATCACATTTAAGAAAACAACACATATTTCATTTTTCTTCAATTAATAAAAAATTACACTTTCTCTTTGTTTCTCCAACAGAGTAAAAAAGTTATACTTTTGGATAATTCCCAATCCAACAACCTGCAAAAATCCAGCATACAGCCACCATCCTAAAATGATATATTTCTCATCACTTGAGTTTGTGTAAAACATGAAAAATAGCAAACCGACCAGACTTTACTGTGCGTGTCTGAATTTTCCTTGCTAACTGATTTCTTCTTTTCCTCTTTTTTGGCTGCATCTTCAACATCGCCAAAGCTAGTGATGAACGTGACTTTGCCAGTGTCCTCTGGCGTGCTGGAGCGACTACCGGAAGACGACCTGTGTCTGTAGCTGGGATACGGATCATACGTAGGACTATCCCTTCGGGCATAGCTGAAAAATAAGAAATTTAGGCAATTAATATAAGAATATTGCATAGATAGTAATTACTTCATGTGAAGGTGGTAAGCAGAGGCCGTCCCAAGATTTGCTTGATGGGAGGGTGGCTAAATTCTTCAAAAGGAGATCTAACAATTTCTGTCACAAAACATCGAGTTCTAGAGGCGAAGCCCTGGTGAAGGCCCTTGGCACATAAAACCTGGGCATTTTGATCCATTTTAAGTTGCTCTTAGATGATTTGGCACATATGGACAAAAAATGTATAAAAAAGTGCCTTTTTTTTTTTTTTTTCCTAGCTGTGGCTTCATAACAGACAATTTCCCCTTATTCCACTTCCCTTGGATAAACATATGCAAAAATGTTCATTTCTGCTACAACCTCTCCTTTCATGAGACAAGCTCGTAATCCTGACTCTGACTTTCTGATTAGTCAGATGTTCAATTTGATTGACATCCCACAATAGGTCCATTATACTATTATGACATGATTGACAGATTGCTAATTAATTGTCTTAACTTCCAACAATATACAGTAGGGGGCGCTGTGCAAAATTCAGTATTTTTACTTTACCTTGGTGGACTTGGCATTTTTTTCTCCCGCAGACGTTTTTCAATATATGCCCTTCTTTCTCTCCTTGACTTGCGTCCCTGTAAATAGAAACCAAATAAATTTTTGTTTTTGAATGCTTTTTTTGGGTAGAATTTTCTTCAAAACAAGAGTTTTAATGTATTTGATTATTGAAATCATACCCTATGTTTAGGACATGGCAAGGCAGTAGAACAATAATAAGTATCTGCAGTTGAGCAGGGCACTACGCATACAAAGATACTTCCGTTACACTTGCATTGCTTATCTTGCCTTGCACCTCGAGTGCCTTGCTTGTTGTAGATTATACAAGTTCATAGAATATCGGTCAATTCGATTTATGTTCTGTTGAATATAGAATAGAGAGGAAATTTCCCATTTTCTCTGGTTCTTTGTAATTGTTAAACCAAGTTCAGACTATCAAAAACATGTGACATGCCTAAATATGGTCACGATGACATCACATCATGACCATATATAGGCACATCATGACTAAATATGGGCATACAACAGTTTTTTACAAAGGCTTGTCCACACTATCATGTTTTATGTTATAATTTTTCATGATTTGCCCATATATGGATATGATGATAGAGAGACTTCATTATAGAGCATCAAAGATTCTGAATGATTAGCTCTCTACATCCAAGTCTGATAAAGAAACTTGGTTATAGACAATCAAATGTTCCAAATTATTAGTTGTCCATTCTGAAACCTCTGAAATTTAGTTTAATTTGTTTAGCAACATTTAGCCATGTAAAATAAGAAATTGTTGAAATATCTTTTTCCCCCAAAATGGTGAACAGAAACCGTTGTCTACAAACATAGTGGACTTGGTTTTACTTACAGAATACATTGCTCTTTCTTCCTCCTCTGCTTTCGCTTTCTTTAAATCCTCAACTTCTTCCTTCTCTTTTTTCAACAATCTGTAATTAAAATTACACACCGTATTTGAAATAAACAAATTAAAAGTGACCTTTAAATATAATTCTCAACTACTGCTTCATTCTCAGCTTAAGAATTGGTACTATTCCGTAATATTTCAAGGCACACATTGTGGGGTGTCCTGCAGGCAACCTAGTGGAACCTGAACAGTAAACTAAGGCGAGACATTTTTTAAACCTTGTTTCGCGAACTTATCTTTCTTTTAAAATTGTCAGAAGAGGGCGGGAAAAAATAAAAATAAAATTTTGTTTTCTTAATTAGCAAATAGTTTTGCCGAAAACTTCCAGAGAAAATAAAAATAACATTTTATTGGTGAATGTAAACAGTATAGTGGTGGAATGGTTAAATGCTTTAAATTCATATAATTAAGAAGAAATATAGATCTTATTTTTGGAGATTTCAAGACAGCAGCAGGCGTAATAAAAATAAAGAAAAACTTCATTTTTTCTTAAACTTCTATTTTATCGCGGCACTGGGTACGCTAATTGGCTGAGAATAAATTTTATTTTTATTTGAAATCATCATTATTGGCGGGCAGTGTTTTAGCTAAACAAGGTATAAAAAATAGTCTCGCCTAAGCAAAGACTGTACAACATTCAGAACAGCCATTGTAAACTAGTCAGCTTAACTGACTGTACAACATTCAGAACAGCCATTGTAAACTAGTCAGCTTAACTGACTGTACAACATTCAGAACAGCCATTGTAAACTAGTCAGCTTAACTGACTGTACAACATTCAGAACAGCCATTGTAAACTAGTCAGCTTAACTGACTGTACAACATTCAGAACAGCCATTGTAAACTAGTCAGCTTAACTGACTGTACAACATTCAGAACAGCCATTGTAAACTAGTCAGCTTAACTGACTGTACAACATTCAGAACAGCCATTGTAAACTAGTCAGCTTAACTGACTGTACAACATTCAGAACAGCCATTGTAAACTAGTCAGCTTAACTGACTGTACAACATTCAGAACAGCCATTGTAAACTAGTCAGCTTAACTGACTGTACAACATTCAGAACAGCCATTGTAAACTAGTCAGCTTAACTGACTGTACAACATTCAGAACAGCCATTGTAAACTAGTCAGCTTAACTGACTGTACAACATTCAGAACAGCCATTGTAAACTAGTCAGCTTAACTGACTGTACAACATTCAGAACAGCCATTGTAAAACTACTGCTTCATTCTCAGCTTAAGAAATGGTACTATTCCGTAATATTTCATGGCAAATATTGTAGGGTTTCATGCAGGCAACCTAGTGGAACCTGAACAGTAAGCTAAGGCAAGACATTTTTTAAACCTTGTTTCGCGAACTTATCTTTTTTTTAAATCGTCAGAAGAGGGCGGGAAAAAATAAAAATAAAATTTTGTTTTCTTAATTAGCAAATAGTTTTGCCAAAAACTTCCAGAGAAAATAAAAATACATGGTGAATGTAAACAGTGTAGTGGTGGAATGGTTAAATGCTTTAAATTTATATAATTAAGAAGAAATATAGATCTTAATCTTGGAGATTTCAAAGCAGCAGCAGGTATAATAAAAATAAAGAAAAACTTCATTTTTTCTTAAATTTCTATTTTATCGTGGCGCCGGGTGCGCTAATTGGCCTAGAATAAATTTTATTTTTATTTGAAATCATCATTATTGGCGGGCAGTGTTTTCGCTAAACAAGGTATAAGAAAAAGTCTCGCCTAAGCAGAGACTGTACAACATTCAGAACAGCCATTGCAAACTAGTCAGCTTAACTGACAGAGCATAGGAAAGTACTCGCAAGGAAGTGCTGGCAACAGTTTATATTTACTTGATGGCAATTTTCTGAAAAACTTCAATTTTCATAATCACAAATCATTATTAAAAATCATACTGGCATTTTCATATATTTTTTCCTCCCTATCCCCACAAATCAAAGAGGGAGTTACTTACTGAGTAAACTGATTAGCACCTAGTCCATACTTTTCGCCAACCTGGTTAACCTTTGCCTCTTGTTCAGGTAAAAGTTCCTCAACATCTAAATTTACAGTATCTGCAAGAAAAATGCAAAGTAATAAGTTGTCGTTTAATCTCCATTGGTATATCCTTGGTACCAATCACTAAAGATGTTGTCTCTAGCAGGCAACAGCTTTGAGCTCTCAGTGGCTAAAGCCTGGGTCTAAAGGGCTCAGGAATATTCATCAGCATTTTTGCCCCGTACATTGTCTGAGTGGGGCCTTTTTAAGGAGCACTAACGTGTAAAAAACTATCAAAATACTTCTTTTAAATGTCAAGTAGGCTGAAGTAGATGGGGTTTACCCCAGGGGAAGGAGGGCCCTGAAGAATGCTTAGCTATGGGCTTCTGATCTTTTTGTTATGCCACTGCTATTTAAGTTGGCTAAATATTTAATGTTTAGCAATTTGGCTAACTGCTATGGAAATGATTATCCAAACAGGAACACTGATTAGCCAAAATATCTTTTCAACTCATTTTGAAAATTCAGCTTAGAATTTGCCTATTTGGCTACTGAGTACTGCACTGCTAGTGCCAGAAATTCCCTCCTGAGGGGTCCAAGGCCCTTAATGAAAGGTGCAAAATGTCCAACAGAGGGTTCACAGGCATCTCAAACCAAACATGTTTAGAGTAAATTTTAAGAATAGATGCTGGAAAATGTAATTTTGCACAGTAAAAATGCTTTTTCAAAGCAGTGTTTCTTGATGAAATGATTTAGATTACTGGCAGGGTCAGGGTCCTCGTGCCCCTTTGGACCCTGCATATCAAAGAATTATCCCAAAGGAGTTGAAAAAGTCTCACCCTGTCTATAAGAGTTTATGACTTCAAAGAAAAAAAACGATTCAAAGACAATCTGTAACACTCAATAAATTATGTCAAAGTACATTATAATCACATCGTAATCATCATCTTCAATACAGTATAGTAGTCCTAATTACTATAATACCTACCTATTTCCAAGTCACTAAGGCTATCATCTGAATCATCGTCGTCATCATCATCATTGTCCTCTGCATCCTCTTCTTTGTTGCCTTCACCCCCCGCAGGTGGGGCATCATCATAGCTAAATCCAATTGCTGCTTTCTTGTCAACCAACCTGTAATGTAGATTAATGGTTAGTTCCATTATTTTTAGTGGGGGTGCTCTCAATCATTTCCAACGGAAGTGTGGTGCTACGTGAAGTGTATTATTATCAATCAAATTTAACTGATATTAATCTTACTTTGATTTTTCATTTTCGATTTTATTATTCTGTAATTCTGGGAACATCTCGTCTATATAGATTTGCTGAAGACATTGTTCTTCTGAGTCTGTAAAACAATGAATAATGTTATGTTAGTCATCTATTGTCTGAATCTGAATGTTATCTGAATTCGCAAACAAAAATCTAACCCTTCATATTGAACTACTGTACACAGCGTAACCAACAATTTAACATAAACAACATCTTGAAACTAAAAAACTAATTGGATACATTTGATTGCAATACTACATCAAATTTAAGAGGTTGGCATATCTCAGTTTTGTAGGGTTTTGACCCCTAATGTATGTTTACAAATTTTCAAGAGGTGAATGTTTCCAATTAGTTTGAAGGTAAACAATCTTCCATTTTATCTAGGTTATGAATGGAATGATGTCATGCAAATAGAATTCTGGTATAAGTAGGAATTAATACAATACCATATGACTAGCATACTTCCAATTCTCATTGGTTATATTTGGAAAACATAGAGTATTATAGGTTATTTAGCATCCCAATTAAATGTCTCCGCCAAATGTGATATTAAGGGTTTTTCCCCTAAGAAAACTAAAGCAGGCCCTATAAAAAAACTTCCTTTCTGAACAGTAAAAATATTGAGTGAATAAGATACTTTTAGTTTACACAGACTTAATTTCAATCTTACAAAATATGATCTGTTTATGTTTTATTAATACTGTAGAAAAGACTTTTTTTATTCCTTGTTTTGCACACTTATTTTTTAAAGATTATCGGAGTAGGGCGAAATAAAAAAAAATAAAATTTTGTTTTCTTATTTAGCAAATAGTTTTGCCAAAATCATCCAGACAGAGGAGAAAAAATTTTTTTTTATTGGTGAATGTAAAATAGGATGTTCCAATTCTTCAAACTTATATGATTATGCAAAAATATACATATTTTATCTTTGGCGATTTCAAGGCAGCGGAGGGCGTAATAAAAATTAAAATCTTTAAATTTTTCTGAAATTTACACTTTTTCGTGGCAGCAGGTACACTAATTGGCTGAAAATCAAATTTTATTTTTGCTCGAAATCATCAATATTTGCAATCGGCGGGTTCACTAAACAAGGTATAAAAAAGGTCTTGCCTTATGGTTGCTGCCCATAAGTTGTGGAACTCATTGCCTTTGCTCATTCGTGAATCTCCTTCAGTGACTGTTTTTAAAGCTTGACTGAAGACTCAGTGAGTTTTATTAGTTTTAATTAGGATAGGACGCGTCTGAGTCCGAGATGGCTGAGACTCAAGAGGTGCCGACCAGAGTTCACGAGGGCATATCCCCATACTGTGGTTTAGGTGCTGGCTTGGAACTTTTAACGTTATTATTTTTTATTATTTCACATTTTATTCTTTCACATTTCCAAAAATCTCTACACTTAAGACTTTTTGGTATTTTACGCTTTACATATAAAATCTCTAACCGTTAACCATTAAAAATATTTAAAATAAAATATATAGAAAATTAGCAATTTACAATTAATGAAAACAATAATAATAGTAATGAGCATTACACTATACTGTACATACTTCCTGAATAATCACTTTGAACTAAGACCCTGTAACGCTCATAGTTACATTTACGTTCCTCTTTCTCCTCATCTGGTGTCAACAATAGATGACCTATACCAGAGTACTCGGGTATGATATCCAGATGCGCCCTCACATCAAACCTATCAATCATGTTGTTCTTTTGACCTTGCCATGGCATCCTAAAGGGAAGATACAAAATATGTGTATATATTAGTGGTGGTAAAACCTAGAAACAACTACACTTTCAATTTCAAAGGCTTATTTAAGTCTATTAATATGTACAACATACTTAAATTTTTTTTAAATTTATTTTTCTCCCAAATGAATGAGTTTTTCTCCCCGACGGGAGGGCTGTAGTCCCCCTACCCCCTGTAGCGCCGCCACTGTATTTTGGTAAACTGGGCCAGAAACTTAGAAGTTCAAGTGCAGAATTGACGAAATATACCGGAATTGAAATTGATTAATCCTGGAGAAAATCTGGTTGCAGTAAATGTTACAAAGTATCCAGGGATGTAGTTACGGTAGGCAGGGCTACCCAGCCTTGAGGTTTTCCAACCAGTCTAGTGTCAATTTCATGCTCCCCTCCCCTTCCACACACATTTAATTGATTAATCCTGGAGAAAATATAATGGAATTTTGTTAGTTTGAATTGGTGGAATTTTAACTGAATTCAACTAATTGTTGTATTATTTTTGGAAAACCATATGTTGACAATTAAGACGTCACTAGATTCCAAAACATATTGCGCTATAAATTGCACACTATATAAATACCAAATTATTAACATGATATATTTGGATAAGTGTTATTTCATTACTACTACCCTTATTGAAGTTTAGTGTTGCAAAGTGTGGGATGCAAAGACTCACATGGTGGCAGGACTCTCAGCTGCATGGTAGATGGCTGGATCAAGATGAATTTTACAAACACGCCCATGGATTTGAAGAAATTGAGCTGGGTCTAGTTTCTGAAATGTTAGGAGAATCATAGATATTAAAAGAAAGCTTCTGACTGCAGCTGAATCAGAGAGTCTATTGATAAAAGCCGACAATTCCATTTGTTTTTCGAGGGATGTTCTCTTTTGGAAGAGAACAGGCAACTAGTCGGTTTATCCAGGTAAGTGCTCATAAAGTAGACAGTAGAAAATGTACATTTTGAAAACGCAGTGGCTAGAGATACGGTACCGTATTTCTACTTTGTTTTGCTGAAGGTACGGTAAATGGCATTACATCACCATCACCCAATGAAATGCCAGAATGTGCATGACTTCATTTTTTGAAGACTGGCATTGCATATCACCCGCAATGAGTGGTGGAAGGAGAACGATCATTGTACAGTACTGGAAAATTAGAACATCAAAAGTACAATATTGTTTGACTTTACTGTCACCCTTAAATAGGCGTATGGTTCCACTTTATAGTAAAAGTAGGCCTGTATGAATTCTCTTGTTTACAGTATATACATTTTTTTTATTACAAATGTTGTCATATAAATAGATTACCAAAGACTAGCAGTAGTGTGTGTATACATGGGCCTTGGCCTAAGTCCTGAGGATGATTCCTTGCTTGATTAAAGGCTACATAATGACATGACTTTATTATTGAGTGGTACGCCTATTTTTCTATGACAGTATTAAGGTCTGCATCAAAATTATTGGAAAAATTTGACTCAATTGTAATAATCACAAAGGGGAAACTTATTCTCTCGATCAGGCCTAGATTCTGTACCATAACGGTGACGAAGTCTAGCCCTACGAAAAGTTTTGTGCATTCAAATTGCATGAATATTTTGATGGGATTGTAAAGCCTGGTATTATTTCGAACTTCTTGGACAAAAACTTGGAATGTAGGGATTATGAAGTTCAGGCGGTATGATGACGGAGAAACTAGGCTAAGTTTATGACTGATATAGGCCTATGCCACTTAGATCAATGTCACCAGAGCAGCTGCCGTGAAAAGCAGAATCCAAACAAGGCCGAGCAGCCTTGCTTAGATTTTTCGCCAAGCGAAGAATTTAAGCAAGGCCTAGAGGCATGCCAAGAGTTTGGTGGAATCAGTCCTTGTTTGATAATGGTTATACATATAGGCCTAGCTAAATGAAACTCTTTACTAAATGGAACCAAAAGACTATTTATTGATAACAGTACTAAGTCAAACAATATTGTACTTTTTGATGTTCTAATTTCCCAGAACTGTACATCGTTCTCGTTTCACCGCTCATCGCGGGTGATCTGCAATGCAATGCCAGTCTTGAATGACGTCATGCACATTCTGGCACTTTGTTCGGTGATGGTGATGTAATGCCATTTACCGTACCTTTAGCAAATTGAAGTAGATATACGGTACCTTATCTCTAGCCATGGCGTTTTGAAAACAAGGCTGATTTTCAAGTAAATCCACTAATGGTGTACACAATGCTAATGTATCGCACCTATTTTTCCATCTATTTCCCATACTCACATAGGGGCCTAGGCCTAGGTTCTTAATGAATTTTTGCACAAAATAAAATAATTAATCTGGGATGTACCATTAAAACAAAAACGAACAAACAGAGAGACATCAACGACAGCATAGGCCTAGTGACAGTGAGTGTTGCATATGTAGGCCTATTCCTGCATGCTAAACTTTATAAATCTATATGGACATTTAAAAAATAAGTCACAAGTGCAAATTTTCTTGCAAAAATTTGGCATAAATTAAAGCGTTTTGGCCGCGACCAGTTATGCCGCAATGTAATTGTAACACATCAGGAAATATATGTCTGAATAGTGTATGGCCCTACCCTAGGCCCATAGATTTAGGGCCTAGCCTAGCTGGGGTAAAGACTTTAGCCCTATACCTACTGTATATCTAGCTAGTCAGGTCCCCTGTTTAGGCTAGGCCCTAGCCTGGCCCTACCTAGGCCTAGGCCTAGGGGCCTACTAGGCTAGCTACAAGAAGGAGAGGTCAAAACTTACAACTGTTTCATAATACTCCCTTCTTCTTTCTGCTCTCTTTTTGAAATCAACCATCATCCCACGAATCTTTTTCTCTTGCTTCCTTGCCTCGTGCCACATCTTGATTCATTACAGCAAAGAAAATAAAGAAATTCGTTAGCCTACCCTCGCAAAACTTACAAACGGTTGGCAGCTAGCTGCTAAGTGATGTGGGTCGGGTCGGGCCGCAAGAGTGGATGGATGGATTTCTCTAGAATCAGAAAAAAAAGCGATTTCAAAACAACCAACGACCAATCAATCTTGGGTTTCACAACCATTTCCATGATATTTTCTGTCCAGAAATGTCCAACACTGGTATTTTATCGTTTACCGTTGCTGCTTTCTCAGGGAAACGGGAAACTACTGCTGATGTTTTGATAGTTCTACACGGTCTGAACTATTTGGATGTTACCATTTTACGTACGAATATAGACATAAATCTAGATATGGATGTTTGTTCGCTGTAAGGCGGAGGTAAGCTTTTACTGATAGTGTACTACAACAAGATTGTTCTCGTTATAGCGGCTGAAAATTGCTAAACACGCGAGTCAGGTGTGTTCAATTTCACACACAATACATTATTGTTGTTTTGGCATCGATTGGTAGTGTGAGTAATCGGGTAATAATATTAATAACGGGTAACGTAAAGTGTTGAATTTGAACATTGGCCTAGGTAGGTAGGCCTGATTCTACGTTGAATCTTTCAGTTTCAGCATACTCTTCAGTCAAGATAGAGTACAGTGTCTTTATTATTAGGTTTAAACGTGAATTTTTGTTTGATTTGATTGTTTAATTTTGATGAAAAATTCTGAGTTCAGATGTATAGGCTAGATTGGACAAGAAAGTGCTAAAAAATCGTCAGACAGGTTTCTGCCAAATTTCCAATAGGAAATGGTTAAATTCTGCCATGTTATACTGCATAAAGCAGGTGCGGATCCAGAGATGTCCAAAAGGGGGGACCGAAAGTTGGGTCGACGAGACAACACCATCCTAGCTAGGGGTTCCGGGAGCATGCCCCCTCGAAAGGTTTGCGTTCTGGACGCCCGAAAATAACATTTGATTCATTCTGGGCTATCATTATTTTCCTTTTTTTACCTCCCAAAATCCACCTCTGTAAAGTTGGTTTTCCACTAGGCCTGGACGAATTTATTTGCACGAAGCAAAGTATTTGACCGTACATATGCACAGTTTAATTTTCATGCAGAGTCGATTATTCCCATTTACACTGCCAGTGATTCGTTAACGGTATTTTGGAGTTTCTACTTTTTGTGAAGGTAAATAATGTATGGCCAATCAGATCTCGGAAAATATTTTATCGTGATAAAGTTCAGAATCGAATCAATGAATGTATACATCACCATTGTACGCTGGCTGACAAGTCATTAGCAAGGCTGCAGCAATGTTTGTGAAAATTGAGTGTCGCAAACTTTTTCACTCATGTAGTGAAAAATGACAATGCCAATTTGAATGTTGATGTGGCACAAATAAATCTGTCTGGTGGAAAACGCCTTTAAGGTAGTGAGACTGAAGTCAATTAATGAGTTGGATTTGTGACGAAACCAAACCTGTGGAAGGAACCCATTTTTAAAGAATGTTATTGCGGACCCAAACATCCCAAACCCCAGTTTGCTACAACAAAGTTTGCCGAATCTTGATCCACTACAGTATGTTAAAAACATAATTTATGGATTGGATTGTATTTATTCAGTGTAAACACCAAGTATAACCCACGAAAATCTAGAAGAAGACTTACACTATTTCCAGTGGAGTCCTTCTGGTGGTGATTGGGCAGTACACCAGGAGACAATCCCCTACTCTTTTCTGAAGAGTGTACTGCGTTCTTTAACGTGCACATGGGCCATAAATGCACGTGTGTCCAACGGTTTAAACGTCTCATCCGAAAGACGGCGAGCTATAGTAACTTATATTTCAGTACTTTAGCTGAAACACAAGAAGAGGCAGCGATGGGAATTGAACTGGGGACATATCTCCACGGTTCAGCGCACACACAGTGGCTACGACCAGATTAGCCGACTGAGCTAAGCTGCTCTCTCTCAATGTCAGCTAGCTGTCTTCTCTAAATAGTTACCATTTACCGCAATTAGTCAAAAATGAGGGGCAATTAGTTGAAAAATAAGGGGCTGGTAGAGGGTGTCTATCACTACTTTCAAGGAAGTCTACAAAATTTATACCTTTTTTTTTTTGAGGAAAAAGCATCATATACTGTAGAAAAACTCTAAATTCTACTGTGTGCTATTTAATGACATGAGATGACAGTTTAATTGATGCATGGTTAATCGGTAATAATTAAAGCACATTATAATTTATAAAAAGACACCTTAACATAACATTGTAGGTTTGTTCCAGACAGGTGCAGAGTAGATGTTAGCACCTGTATGTATCACATTTACGTCATTCTTCCGGTTTCTTTTGTGAACTAAATAGACTTTCTTCAGGAGAAGTCAATATTTGTTGAATTGAATCTCGTTCTAATGATCATTTTCTTAGATAATCTATCCTTTTTATTAGTTTATAAATTGAATCGGTACATTTAATGTCACACTGGTTCTGTTTTCAGTAGTGGTGCATTATTATGAGATTATGCATTTTATATTTTATTGATAATATAATAATTTTATATTATGCAGGTGCAGATGCAACCGTGATAATACAGTAGGGCCTACAGTGATAACATTTTTTTTTCAGGTTTTAACCAGTTTTTAAAAATAAATATCATAAAAATCATTTTTTCAATTAACCTGCTCATTTTGAGCACATAACAATTATCAACTTTGTTCACAGAAATTAGTATATTTAAAAAATATCATAATTTTATATAGAGCGAAAAATGATACAAACATTTCCAGTCACATGAAATGGTTAAAAGTGTTTTTATAATTTTTAAACATTTTCTAGCATAAAAATCAGGGTACACATTTTCATTCAATAATTTATTAATTTGTATGTTACTGCAAAATGACCAAATTACTTTCAGTATTATTTTTTTATGATATTTTTTTGTCATTTTCTGAGAACAGTAGGCCTACATTTTAATAGTAATTTAATTGAATATATAGTTTTAATATTGCCATTTTATAGATTGTTGATCTTGTCACTTTTAATTGTAAGCTTTAGTTTTAAAATAAAGTTATTATTATAATTATCATTACTGTAATAAAGCTTACAAAACAGTACAGATTAGATAACAGTTTACTTACAACCTGTGCTAGCAGGTAGGTTGTAAGTGCTGTCAATTTATGTTTATAATAGGATTTCCGCTAGGTTTTATCTTCTTTGTCATTGATTTACAATCCAACAATTCAGGAACCACAGTCCGAAAACACTTATGCACAATAACATTTAATTACAAAGGTGTGATCCACCAGGGGAACCTTCATCTCTGTTGTCCACCAACCTTGCATTCTGATTCTACTGTACACTATAGGCACTCATTTCAATCAACGTGTACATTATTTTTGGCATTGTAGTTCGGTTTATACAGATTTCAGATTTTATTCAGCGGCACGTCAGTTTTCTGATCCATCCATATACAAAGTGATATAGTACAGAATGAAACAATTATAAAAACATTTAGCAAATTTAAGAAATAAAATCCTATCATATATGTACCATTTAATAAGAAAACCCATACATTAAAACCCGGCTCCGGAAGAAAATTATTTGTTGGTATGATGTGCAACTGACTTTTCTTAGACACAAAAACCATATTTTAAGAAAACCTCAGCAGTTAATGAAATGAAAATTAAACTCCTGCAATTTTGAACAAATTTTTTATTTTTCTTCGCCTTCATACTTCGTGCCAATTGTAAAATCTATACCTTTATACTGTATATTCTGTGTTTAAGAGAATCAGTTATGTTGACTCAGTAGGACAATGGTGACTCCATCTACCACTGGTGTGTACGTATCCGATTGTCACCTACCTGTACTCTACGTGTAAGAAATGTTTGTCTATTTCTTAAGCGTCTTCACAATTTCTGTACACAGTAGTGCTCATCGATTGCGGATTTGGTGAGGTTAAACAAGTATTATTGTTTGTCTTAGATTAAATGTTAAAGGAGACACTGAACATCAGAATCCTGATTAACTTGTCGTATCCAGGGATTGTTGTCAGGTGCCAATTTCCTGCAAGATTTACACCCTGGATTTACAGTGTCAGTGTCTGATGTTCAAATGAGTTTATGCTACAAGCAGAACTTGCGCTCTGCATTTTACAATCTGTACTCCATTGTTGCTGATTGTATGCTGTGCAGGCTACAGTACTGTGTTAAATTATGGACTATGATGCATGAGGGATTTATAATATCTAGGGATCGGGGTAAGGTGTGCTGGTGATGTTTTTTATCATTCATTACCCCTGGTCACACAGTAGATCCAAAATTTGGCAAACTAGCACAAAAGTGCAACCTCATCCAGTCCCTGGGTAGTATTCCAGTCTTGTTAAATACAATTTAATGTAGACACAGGCCAACACATTCAATGTCACATCTTCACCTACCAGGTACCGATTTATACTCCTGGGTGGAGAAGACAAACGTAGGTAAAGTGCCTTGCCCAATGACAAAAGCAAAAGGCACAGCGGAGGTTTGAACCTCCAACCTCAAGGTTGAGAGACCAAAACACAATCTCTGTGCCAAAAATAATGTAATCCAGTACTTAGGAGGTGGAGGAATCAAATTCTGCATAAATTTAAATAAATTTTTATTTGTTATTTTCCGAGGTTAGTTTCAGTTAATGTCTTAAACAAATCTTAGTATTATCTAAAAAAATAATTAATATTAATATTGGAATCAACTATGGACAATTTCAGTAAAGGCACTAAACATATACTAAAAATAAAATAATATTTCTTTTTAATTAATAAAAAAAAAAAGATTGTCATGAAAACATTACAGTTCATGGTCAATCAACAGTCAACAAAATTGCGGTTGAAAATTATTCATCATTCCAGAGAACACACAACCATGACACACCTCTCTTACTTAATATTAATGTTTAGTGTTTTTCTATACTTTTTTTTTTAATATGTTCACTAGTCATTTGTTTTATGGGTTTGCCAATGATGAAATCATTTCTTGTACTGTACCTTTGCTTTTACATTGACTAATAAAAGTTCAATATTCTGTATACCTATAATATTATAGGCCTATCATTGTGTATCTATAATATATCATTGTCAAGCTTTTTCTAATGTCCGTTGCCCTGCGTTTATGGATCCTAAGAACTATTTAAACTAATATATTCTGTTTGAAGCCTAAATCTTTTATAAACATTATAGCCTAACACAGTGTTTTCTATTTCTAGTTGCCTTTTTTATTTTCGTTTAACTAATCAATGTGGCACTGTGGAACCATTCACTCCCAACAATAAAAATCAATAATCACACCAAATACTTGATAATCAGCTTCCTAACTCCATTATCAAATGATTAGACCGGAGTTGACAGTCTGCCACTCCAATTTGGACCCAACATGAAAATGTGTACTGTAAGTTTAAGCATCAGAACTCTAGGATCCAACTGAAAGTGCAATATAAATCTTCATTTTTGACTTTATGTTGTTATTTTATTTAGATTTAGTTGGATTGATCTGTTGCTTGTGATAGTCAGGGTGAGCAGTACTCTGGTTTAGTGGTGCAAGCTGTTCTTATCGTACACTATAGCAGATGAACTGATTATGTAATTCCAGCATATTGTTTGCACTATAGTCAGAATAATAACAAGGTAAGTTGATTATTATTTCATTGAAGATAAAACTGCTATACAGTACAACTGTACTCTGCCATACATAGAATACGTTCTGTTGTTCATAATGAAGTCGAAATATAGCCTGGTGTTAAAATGATTCCTTCCAGCTCCAGGGTACTTGGGTTGCATTCTAGTCAGTGGCGGTGGCAGTGGGGATCGAAAGTGGCAGAGAAAACCTGGTTTGAGAACATGTCATTCTCCTTCGGGAAAGAATCCAATTATTCCATCAAAGAACACGAGTTTTAATAAAATAAATAACATTTTTACAGTCGGAGAATGCTATTTTCAGGCATTTAGCAGTTGCCTAACTTAAGATTTGCCGCAAACACATTAGGACGGGAGAATTTGGACCCAAGTTGGCAACTTGGACCTCTTGTCGCGGACCTTGGATCTCCCTCTCTGAATCTGTGGCACTGCCAATGAATCTTTTTCCATTTTTTAAAAATTCAGTTCAATAGTAAATATACACAAATCATGGTTTTTAACAGTCTTGATGAATTAATTTGGTCAGTTGTTGTAGAGTACTGTAGCACCTCTGATATGGATGAAACAGACAACGATGTATATGTTGACCAGCTGCGGGAGGTCTTCGACAGCTGCGATGTCAACAAGAATGGCACCTTGAACCGCAGAGAGCTGACAGAGCTGTGTAAGAAGTTGCAACTGGAGGATCAAGTGGACAATCTGTTAGGAGAACTTCTGGGAGATGCCCAAGATGGACAGGTACAATTTCAAATTAATTATTTATATTTTTTAATGGTTGTTTTAATTTCTTTTTAAGGTGTTGTTCAACATTATCATTATTTTTACAAGTGTACAAACAGTATGCTAGTGGGGAGGGTTTAGACAAATTTGTACACTTTTATATATGCATGGAAAAATGTTGATTCAAAATAACATGCAGTATGTAAAATAATGGTAAAATTATAATGTAACCATGGATATAATATTCATATTAAGCAACCAAGTACATTGCTTTAGTTGACTTCACAAAAATATGGAGAATGGTTTTGCAAAATGAACATTTTTTGTACACTTTCAGAGGGGAGGGATGGGGGATTGGAAAAAGAGTACTGTTTTTACACTTGTGAAAATGTTGATAATTGTCAATTAAACCAAATTTAAATGTACTCCTTAAGACGTTTCATCCATCTACGGCGAACTTCATCAGTTGACTTTAAATGTTATCGTCAGTAAAATAACTACTGATATGAAATAACAAAATGAATTTCTTTTAAGATATATATAAATTGTAAAAATTATTTGAATATACATTTCACTAATTTTAGAATAGAGTATTTTAATATCAATTATTAAATTTTTGCTTTTTTTTATTTTTTTATTATTTGATTTTTATGTCCTTTAGAAGATAAATTTTTGCAATACTGTACCTTTTTTGCAATGCCAAATTATTGATGCCATTTTGACAAAGACCTTTTTTGTACGGTGCCTTACAAGGGCTCTTAACTGTACAGTAAGAAGTATTTGATTTACATGGAGTAAAGCAAATTTTTTACTACAGCATCCTTTTAACTATAGTGCATGTTTGACTACATTGCATCATGCTACCAAAACATTTTTACTTCATGAATGAAGATATTTACATATCTGGTTTGTAGCTGTGATAGAAACTCTCTACTTTATTTTGTATATCTTCCCAGGTGGACTTTGAGACATTCAAAGAAGGCTTTGTTATAGTTTTGTCGGCTGATATGGACAGCATTGGAAATATTACAGACACGGAGGAAGATCATAGCGTTGCAGATATTCTCGATAATCAAGGTACAGTAATTATCATACACAGCGAATATTTTTTTTTTTTTTTATCCAAAGAAGATTCTCATAATCAGTGAGTGTGTCTAGGCCTGGGATACATTTAGGTTTAGAAATGCAGCATTGACTCTTAAATGCTTGTAAAAGTTTGTAAACTTTATATAAAATATACAAAGTTCAAAATGGATATTAAATGAGCAATAATAAAAATAACCAATTTCACAAATACAATGAACGTTACCGTCTGGCTCATGAAAGAACATTAAAAATCAATGTAACACTTAAACGCCAATGTAACTTTTATTTAGGTTGTCAGGGAGAAAGCCAAAAAAGAATATAGTAATTATTGTACACTCACTATAGAAATAATTCTGAGAACAAGAAATTAATTTTTGTGAAAGAATTCCTAAAGAGAACATTATTATATAGCATAAATACTTAACAGAATAATTTTTAAAGATATTGGCTTGACAAAATACAGTAGGCTGAAGAAAAACATCAGAGTGGGTATGATGGAAGTAGGAACTTATGAAGTGATTTGTCTTCTTAAATGCACCCATTGATCGAAAATAAGAATGACAAATTTGTCATTAAAACCCAGATAAAGTTACCATATATATTTCAAATTTACTCATGATACACCCATTCCTTTAATAAAGGAAGTTGTTGAGATTTTCTCATTGAAACCCAGATAGTGTTGCATATTCTTAATTTACACTAAAGAAATCCGTACCAAGGCAAATAAAAGAATGTATTTTGTATATAGAATGAAACGGTTTAATGTTAGCTCTCATCTTATTCATATGTTTTATTCCTCGGTTGTCCAGTCAATTCTTTCTTATTGTATTATTATTTGGTTCTCTCATATCACCGCAGACAGTAAATGTCAATTATTGAGAATCGTAAATAAGGCTGGAAGAGTGATTGGAGCCGACGTTAAGTCCTTGGAAGATATTTTTAATGATTTTTTACTTAAGAAATTTAATTCAATTATGCAAGATTCATCCCATCCATTATTTTCAGACATTATCATAAATAGATCGGGAAGGGTTAGACATAAACAAAACAAAATATCCACAAACCGTTTTAAAAATTCAGCATTGTATATCGCTTGTAATCTATTTAATCAAAATTTCAGAAGATAACTGCACAGGACTCAAATTTTTATTTTCTAAGAAATCTTTATTTAACACTCTCTATGTTTATGAACGATTCTATGTCATGTACAACAAATATCTCAGAATGTATTATTTTGACAATAAAGTTGACTTGTATCTTGTATCTTGTATCTTGTACTGAACTTTGAATTAGGATTAGACAGTAGTCATTAAAATTACAGAATTGCACTCTCTTCCAACATGATGCTGCTGCTTGGTGGTGGACACTCAGCGTGAGCATTTTGCTTGTCCTCCAAGCAACATTGTTATTGACAGTTGCTTTGAAATCTGAAACCTATGGAATGTAAACGTTGATCCTGCGATTAAATGAGCATTTGCTTGCAATGTGATACATTGTGATTTTAATAATGTTATAGTGCTTCCTTTGTTGCTGAGTGTTGTATTCAGTTTGCTAATGATGTTCTAAAAATAGGTTGTAAAACATATGTTCCTTTTACTACTCAAAGAAAATTGTTTTGATATATAACATGGTTATAATCTGCAAATTGATTTGTACAGTAATTGTAAATAATTTATAAAGCTGTTTTTAGCTTACTCCTTTAGGTTTACAAGAGAGGAAAAAACATACTGTTATGTAAACCTCCTTTCTTCCCCCAAAAGATAAAAAAAGGTCGTTTTGAGGTCATCATTTTCTCATTAAAAAAAATATACTGTTACATTTGAGGATTCTCATGCTCTATAAATAATACCCAATTCACATAAAAAAATGTTGCACACATCTCATGGTAGAGAAAATTTAGCACTTGTTCCTACTGCACTGTCTCTTATACACATCTAGATGTGTATAGGAAAGACAGACATCGTACAGAGTACTGTAATGACCTTAATATAATTAACATTACAGAGCGCTTCTGATTGGTATGTTCACTGCCTTCTTATCAACTTAAATAGTGATGCTTGTATTCACTCGTATGAAGATGACGGTATTTTGATAGGTACTACATCTTGGGAAGTCTGTAGAATTCAGCAATGTCTTGTGTAGATCAGGTCTCTTCATGAGACTTCAGGAGAGGAGTTGTTATTCCTTGTGGGGAAAATCCTGAAATTCTTCTCAGGATTGAACCTATTACCCTGAAATTTCCAAGTGGATACTTAACCACTGCTGAACTTACTCTGATTCTTAAATTAATTTAATCCTTTTTTTTCCCCCAGGTGTACGCCCAGTTTCTCCAAAGTATGTCAAAGGACAGAAGAGGTACGGTCGGCGCTCTAGACCAGACTTTGACCTTGACTACAGCGCCGATTTCTCAGAAATTGATACCGAGCCAATATCACACCGGGGCTCAAAACGGGAGAGCAAAATGAGAAGCAAACGGGATTCGGTGGAAGAAAAAATTATTAGCGAGAAAAGTTCAAAACGTGAAAGATTCAAGGAAGCCAGGACATTATCTTTTGCTGATAGTGTTAGTGAGGTACTGTGATGTTTGTACATAATTCTTGTTTTCAGGTTTATTTTTATAGCACCTTCTATAGTAAATTATTAATATTCGACAATATATTGATATGAGAGACACAGTGTAGTAGGTGTTGGTATTAAGTCTATGTTTTAAATTTTTTTATTGTAGTTACAATCGTAATAATGATAATTCTGAATTGTATATAGCACCTCCTGTTGTCACAACAGATGCTTAACAACATAAGAGAAGGAAATAAACCACTAATATATGAATGTACCGTTAATTATTTATCCAGTTGTACCCAGAAAAGCATAGCACTTTACACGTAACTGTTGAACTCGCAACCTTTCGATTAATATACCACAGCCTTACCTCTGTGTCAATCTATATTCCACATACAGCATTTGTGTCCTTTAAGGTATGTATTTATACTGCCGGGTCAAGAGAGAGAGACACCACACACAAATACAGATAATGTGACTTCCCCAAGGACACAAATCTATAATAAGTTAGGAATTTGGACCCCAACCTCACAGTTGAGAGCCTAGATAGTTAGTAAGTATTCTTGATGCTTTGATGATTTCAGATGGATGAAGACAATGGAGTTTTTATGCAAGATGATCCTGTTGATAAGCTGGACAATGTGCCGGAAATCAACATTGAGTCAGGAAGTAAAACATCAGCATCACCAAAGAACGAAACATTTGAAGCAGAAGGTAGATGATTGAATGTGATAACAATAATTATTAAATATGATGGCAATAATATTCATATTTGGTAGAGTATCCAAAAGATGATAAAAGGGTATTAGTTCAATTTGGTATTATTCTAAAAATAATAAATAAATAATATAGTTATGTTTTTAAATGACACATAGTGTAGAAAAGCTTCTATGTGCGTCACACAAAAGACAAAATTCAGTTCATCTTTCTACCTACACACACAACTTGTAGTCATTTATGCACCATGAAGAGTATTTCTTTTGCTGAATAGATATTAAATTCTTCCTTAAGTTTTGTAATTTAACATGTACTCATAAGTGACTAACAGGGATGTGGTTATGGTGGGTGGGGGCCACCCAGCCTTGAAGTATTCCACCCAGTCCTAATCTAATTTCATGGCCCTCCACCCACCCTTATTAACCCACTTTTCCATCCTTAAAATCCACTCTTATTATTTAGAGTTTATCATTCACCCACCCTGAAAATGTATATCACCCACCCTTAGTTTTCTTCAGCTACCACCCTGGCTAAATAGCAGACCATCCGAAAGCTTAATAAAAATTATACTTAAACATCGAATTTAAAATATTTAATTTGATTGTTTCTTACCATTTCACATACTACTCATAAGTAAACATATAATTCTGTTCCAGGTCAATTGAATGCATCAATGGGTCAGTTCGAAATTCCTAGTCCAACAGATGAGGATCAGGTGCGGGCTATCTGGGAGGAGGTTGGCGTCGGCACTGATGGATTCCTTAATCTACAGGAACTTGCATTAGTTTGTGAACATATTGGAATGGAAGACATGGATCAAGAGGTATGAGATAAGGAGGGAGTTGGTATTGGCCACAATGGGGGTAGTTGTGGTGATGATAAAGAGGGAGGTAGTATTGGCCACAGGGGAGTTATTTGTGGTGAAAGTGATAGTTGTGGTAATAGTGGAAGTGAAGATGTTGGATTGGATTGGATTTATTCGGTGTAAACACCAAGGATAGCCCACGAAAGTCTAGAAGAAGACTTATTTCCAGTGGGGTCCTTCTGGTTGTGATTGGACAGTACACCGGGAGACAATCCCCTACTCTTTTCCGAAGAGTGTACTGTGTCCTTTAACGTGCACATGGGCCATAAATGCACACGGGACCAACGGCTTAAACGTCTCATCCGAAAGACGGTGCGCTGTTTTAACTTGTATTTCAGCCCTCTAGCTGAAACACAAGGAGAGGCAGCGATGGGAATTGAACCGGGGACCTAGAGATCTCCACGGTTCAGCGCACACAGTGGCTACCACCAGATTAGCAGACTGAGCTAAGCTGCTCTCTCACAAGTTATTGATAATTATATTAGGATGATAGTACAATCATAAAATTATTAAGACTTCATTTATTTCATTCATTGTTTAACCCAATAAAAACTACAGTTATACATTTTCTTTTTTTTAAATCAATAATTTACAAAATTATTATATCAAAAGTTAGGAAAATGTTGAGAAACTTAAATAACAAAAGCAGTTTTAATGTTAGGCAAAGGCACAGACATCCTACCATGCTCATATGCATCACCTTTAGACAAATTTCACAAACTTAAAATTATTTTATTTTTCTTCAGGAATTACAAAATCTTTACTGTAAACTTGATCAGGATGATGACGGTAAGGTCGGCTTCCACGAGTTCCTTGAGGGCTTGTTCCGGCACGACAGCACCCGAGCCCCTACCACACCCCTTCCAACCACCCTTACAGCCACACAGAAGGTGAAGCTTCGCATGGCTATCACAGGCAACTCAATGGAAGAGTCAATGCATCGTACAACAACTCCGTCCCTGCTTACATTTCAAGGAAGCAAATTACTCAGCGTACTGGATGCCGACAATAGTGGGTATGTATGCATGAAACTTTTTCGGTAATACCTTTTAACTAACTAAACTGGGTTGGTAAGTGGATGAGTAGATGGTTGGGTAGGTGGATGCATGCATGCATGCGTCAGTGCATGGGCAGGTACTTCCGTTGGTACATGGGTACTGTAAATAGAATGCAGAGACAGATGAAAGAAAAGATAGATGGATATATGCATGCATGGATGTATTGATGGATGAGCAGATAGAAGGATGGATAGATATATGCGTAGGCAAACAGAAATCAGATAATCAGATGGTGGGATGGACGAGTAGGTAGGTGGATGCATGAATACAGGATTTGATACTTTGATGACATACTAAGTCAGTATGTCATAAAGGGCCCATTTGCTACCATGAATCCAATGCAATCCTCACTAAAATTTTCCTTTTTAATCTTTGGGAAGGTATATTTTAATTACTAATCAATTTTCTAAACACTCACAGATAAATGTATGTCATCATTCATGATGATGTTCGATAAAAAACAAAATATTGATACACTATGGCTTTTCTTATTATGTTTGGAGTCAGCATGATCTTATATTATCTAAATATAATTAGTGGACCACTTGGTTTTTGATAAATTTATAATTTGTTAATCACTTTCCCATGTAAACCACTTTCCAAACTATCAAATTTTATTTGTCAAAAATATTTGATATGCTAAATATGGTCATGATGACATCATACCATGACCATATGTGGCAAAGTTAAGCCAAATCAGTCACTCCTTGCAAAAAAATGTTTAGTTTAATTCAGGGTTAAGCATTAAAATGGTAAAAGAATCATTTATATCTGACATTTCGTTATGAAGTTACAAGCATTTAAGCATACAGTTGTGTAAAGAACAGTATTGAGAAATAAGTTTATGATTTTGACCATTTCTCAGGCAGAGACCATCATCAAGAAGTTGAAAAATGTTGTTTTAACATTGAAAATGGGGAAAATAACAACATAGCATGATGTATAGATATATAAAGTTTAGTTTATTGCAATAGAATAGATTTTTAAAATGTTGACACTCCAACATGCTTTGGCCATTATCTCCGAAAAACACAATTTGCAAGAAGTGACTGGTTTGGCTTGTCTTCACCACATATATAGGCACATCATGACTATATAATTATGGGCATACAACAGGGCCCTAGAAAGAGAAAATATTTACACAACAGAGCTGCAGCAGCCTGAATTTACTCATTTTGTCGTTGGCCATATTTGACTACTCGTTCCTCGTTAAACCATGCCCACCTGCGCAGGTTGGTAAAATCCTACTTATCGAAGATGACCAGTCGAATAGAAAACTTGCAAATACTCGACAAAACAAAATAGCTGCATGGCTATTGCAATACACGCTGCGTAATCAAGATTGCTTTGGTTGTGGCAGTATGGGTTTTTCGTAAAAAAATTGTTTCATCCAGTTTTTTTTTTATTCTGTTAGCCTACAATTATTTTTTGACTTCATGTGGGTAAATACTATCATTTTTATTTTCTGAAATTTATTTACAATTATATTAACGCAAATGTTGTTGCTAAACTGACCAATCATCCAGTTTGTTTTGGTCACATGGATAACTTAACACTGATTAACGCATGCTGGCTTACGTTAATTTTCGTTGTCAACAATGTCTATTTAACAAACCAGTCGAATGAAAATAATACTCAACGAAAAATTGTAGTCAACGAAATGAACCAGTCGAATAAGCACATTGGAACTATACAATAATGACCTTCGACATACATGAGACATGACAAATTTATAAATCATGGTTTGTAGACAGCATTATATGCATGGGTAGGTACATGCTGTCTCTGCCATCGAAAAACACATTTAACCAATGGAGTTATGATAACCAGGTGTCTAGGGTTAACTCCCTTCTCAGAAAGCTATGTCACTGACATCACAACACCTATGACCTTTGTTACTGAGCAACGCTACTCAAGTGTTTGATACAGCTGAGGGGAGCTATATTCCAAAATTTTTTTCAACAGTCCAATTTCCAAACTGTTTACATAGCTACATTGCATTATTTTTAACACATGACAAGGTGATATGATCTCGAGCAAGTGCCTGTATTCTGAATTACTTTTCCTCAATTTCCTTGTTTTTCCCATTGCCTAAATAAACTCCTTTGGTACAACCAAAATCTTTTAAACAATGAATGAAAAAATTTTAGCCTACTGACTTTGTCTTATTGTTGTTGTCTTCTCTCTTGTTTTTAACATGTTTTATGTAAGGACCCCATTGGCAATATGTGGTTTTTAATGACTTATTATCTCTGTATATAAACAACATCTTTCATTTCTCGTTTTTTGCTAATGATTTGACTAATTAAGGATGATTGCCATTTTCTTTTTTTATATTTTAAAATTGTATGTTAAAATGATGTTGTATACCAATTAAACTTAATCTATACTCAATCGATTGACCCCCCCCCCATCTTTAAACTCAAGTTTGAAACATGTACAGTAGTACTATGTTCTGTAGTTTAAAAATTTATGAATAACATATCAGCCATATGCCTGTCGACAGTTGAATTATTACTGTTACAAAACTCTACAATATAGGAATTAATGGTTATTTTTACAATGCGAAGACTGGCAGCTGTATCTGTATAATACATATTCTTACCTTGTGGATATAATAGTATATATTTTTATATAGGCCTATAAATATCTACAATATTGGACATAAACCTTTATACTATAGATAATGTAATTACTACCCAACCATAGAAAGTATTTTCTGTGGTCCAACAAAAAACATGTTTACTCATGCTATTTTATAAGTTTTTAAATTGAAACATTATAAATACTTATTTCCTTATTTGTCTTAGCCATTTCAGTGAGTGATAACATTTAGCAATCTATAGACCATAAAAAAAATGTTTCCAGGACCAAAAAACAAAACATTTAATGTACTAGAAATACTACTGAAATTACCTACAATTTTAGTGTGTAGTCCATAGGCCTGCAGTTGTGGTTCTGGATAAAAAAAATTAAAAAATGTAGTGCTTACTTCTAAAATCATTCTACCAGTTTTGATATCTGTTTCTGTTAGTAAATCACTACTTTTTTTCACAGGCTTTTAAATACCATTTGCTTTAATATTCTCGTTGTCAGAAATGTTTTCTTCCTTAACCTTCAAATGTATATTCATTTTGACAGTATACTTTTATTATCAACTGTATATTTAACTACAAACTTTCTATGTATTCTCAAAATATAATTCAAATCTTGAAATGAAGATTACATTAGGCCCTATAAAAAATATTATTAGTTTATCACCCTATCTGGGCAGGAAAAATGATGAGGGAGGGAGGCTTTTTTTTTTTTTTTTTTTTATTTTGCTAAAGCCAAATATCACCCTTGGGTTGTTTGCTGGTGCATTGATATTCAAAGTAAAACATGATTTAGATAATGCAAACAATATCTACTAACTATTTCATAAAATAAATTTAAAAAATAAATAAATAAAATTAAAAAATTTCAAAAAAATTATTTTTTTTTTTCAAACAAATTTATTTTTCCATTACCATAGAAGGCATGCGCACGAGGGTGATAAACTAATAAATTTTTTAATTGGGCCTTAAACTAAAGGAATAAAAATGAACATAAATATAAGTATTTTGATAATAATGTGTTAGTTAATTATTTAATAACATAATTCAAATTACTACACTTATGATGAAGCCATTTTTGTAAAATTATAAAAATTCCTACAAATAAGTCCTACAAATATAAGTGTGGATCATTTTTTCATCTAAATTTCCAAATTAATTTTGAGAACAGTTATAAAATTTTATCATGCTTAGATTTCGTAGATCAAACAAACTTTTCAAATATTGATTCTAATCCGCATTGCTAATTTGTCATCAGCATCGCTTATTAATGAACAAATAAAAATATCCATCAATACATCCACCCTTGTGAGTAATTAAATCATAATTTGCATAACAATGGCTACCATTGATGCTAAAATTCAAACAGATGGAAGGCTGGATCATTTTTCATGTAATAATTTTCGGGAACGATTCAGACTGCAGGAATGGAATGATGTTTCGGAAGTATTTTTCCGAATTTTTACCCGTTTATCAGACAAATACAAGAAGTAAGAAGGAGAAACAACGACAGTAGGTTGTGGGGTTTTTTTGTTCTGTTCTTTGCAAATTTTCCACTTGAGCGATTTAGATCAAATCTGATTTATAATGTTAACGTTTGGATTTGAAGACAGGTTAGTTGTCATACTTAAAAACACCTGTTGCAGGAGAGCTGCGTGGTCAAGCTGCATCAAGTTGCATTTTGTTTGTTAGCTACCCTGAGAAATTTCTCTTAAGCTTAATCTATTGTTTTTTAACAATGCATATATTGTGATACATGCATGATTATTTTGTAAGACTTGGTTGGTGTGCATACCTTATCTTATTTTTGCATATTGTAATTCACCTAATTTATATTCTTTTAAGAAGAACTTAAAGTTTCACCTTTTTGAGAAATGTTACTGAGTTTGTTTTCTCCTGCGCCTTTGATAAATTTTTTAATTGGCGCTATATAAATGTTTATTATTATTATTATTATATTGTCTTTCAAACATGCCACATTTTCGTAGCCCTCTGTCATTGGCAATCCAGGATATTTTTGACTGTTTTTAGCATTTTGGTTCCTCTTATATTTTACTGTCAACTCTCTGTAGCATTTTGGTCATTTTCTCGTAATATCAATAATAACAAAGTGCTAATTCAAAATTTAATCAAAGGTGTAAAGGGAGAAAAATAAGTAAAGTTCATAGCAATTTAAATATGTTATATTTTCAGCATTTATGATAACACTAATGATTATAAAAAAAGACTAAGTTCTGATGGTAATTATCATAATCTTTTTTACATGGTTAAAGTTGTATGAAGGACCATTTAATTACTGTTGGAATTTGATGAGAATGGTAATCATATTAGTAATGATGGTAACGGTAATGATGGTATATGATGGTAATGGTAATGATGGTATATGATGGTAATGATGGTATATGATGGTAATGATGGTATAGGATGGTAATGGCGGTACTGATGATGCATAGAATGTGGCAGTGTATTGTATAGTTTAGTACTGAGAGGCCATAATACCTTTACCAGCATTTACTCATAAATTTGGTAATAGTAAGTCAATTATAGTAAATAATCATTTTAAAGCTTATAATATTAAGAATATGAATATGTTAAAAAGTCAATTTTTTTTTTTTTTTTTTTTTTTTGCTCATAAATACTAATTTTGGCATGGCAAGCCCCATATACTGTAACATATAAATATGTAATCTAACTAGAAAAAAAATTATATAAATTATATAAGGGCAGATTGATATGTTGGTATGTTCTTTCCTTTCAGGTATGTCACACAGGATAGTCTTACAGAACATTGGGAACAGCAAGGAATTGAGAACACTTCAGAAGTTCTCAAGGTAGGTCGTTATGTTCAAAATATTTATTAAAGATGTATTGTGTCCTGAAAATTTTTAGCTGTAAAATTATGGGTAAACATTTTTTAAATACAATAATTTTCAAGTTGATAATTTTTATGTTGCTTCAAAATGAGCAAGTTAATTTCAAAAATGGTTCTTATGATATCTTTTTATGGGATGAATACACCTTTAAGTGAAATAATTAGTGGTTTGAAATGCTTGTCTTTAAATTGCATGGCCCTGGGTGTAAATCCAATTTTTTCATCTGACATCCAAATTAAGTGATTGATTTGGTGAACTACATAAACATCCGGATTCTATGTTTGTTGCCTGTGTGTAGGCCCTGGAAGTTGATACAGAAGCTGGCAAGATCAACATCTCTGATCTGTCGATGGCACTGGAACATGTTCTTCTGACAACTGGTGACAGTAATGGCATTTATCAAGCAGCTCTAACAAGCTACCAGTCAGAGCTTAAGCACCTTAAGTAAGTCTACCGACATTTTTACTGCCAGTGTAGGATATTATGCTAGTTTAGGGGGCGGAAGTGGGAGTAACCCTGCAAAATGGGAACAAGAGAAATTTAAATTTAAGAGACATGTACCGTTTCTGGCCGACTAAATGAGCTATAAAATAGTGTATGTTAGTCTAAACCATGGTCTGGCTAGAAAGTTTCTCACTGTGCCCCCTTTATTTCTAGATTCACCATTGTTCTATACAAATAGGAAATATATATTTTTCTAAATAAAAATGGACCAAAAAATTTGGAGTACAGTAGTAGTAATGTGATATGCCCTTATGTAGCATGTCTGTGGTTAATAAAGGTTAATAAAAAAAAAAAAGCTGTATGTATATTTTGAAGCCAGTTAATCAAGAAAATTTTCAATAGTGTAATACAAATGCACATCATACACTCTTAAAGGGCATTGTACGATTGATTAGATGGGTGGATGTGGGAGGAAGATATGTACATAGTTTCTGCCTTTTTTCCTCCATAGAAATCAATTAGATGCTTCCATAGATGAGAACAACAAACTGAAGATGGATGTTGCAGAGCTAAATCAACGTGGGACGAAACTTGCTGCGGAGGTTGATGATAGACACGCTCATCTCGAGAAAAGCAACGAGGTCAAGTTAAGGTATGTTTTGTGTAGACCCTTTGATATGATGACATTTTTAACTATGATGAGATTGACGATTATATTAAACAATTGCTTTAAGTTATGTTTGGTTAAAAAATTTGAGTTTTAATGTTCTGAAATAAACTTTGTATTTAATTTTTTTTTTTTTTTTTTTTTTAACAGAGAAACTGAAAAGAGATACCAGGATAAGATAACAACGTTACAGACTGAGATTGATAAAGAAAGGCAAATGATGACAAGCCAGGCTGCCAGGCAAAAGCAGAAACTCGAAGAAGAAATAGACAGGCTGAAGGCAGAGGACAGTTTACTCAGGGAAAAGGTCACTCTAATACAAAAGGTAAATGATCATGTGACATGCCTAAATATGGTCATGATGACATCACACCCTGACCATATGTAGGCACATTATGACTAACATGGGCATACAACAATTTTGTTGTCAATGAGAATTTTATAGTGTGGACAGACCTTTATAGATGTGCCCCTTCCTCCAGTGGCAGTCTGAAGTACTCATTGAATGGTTTAGTGTGAACCTACTTAATCTGCTCATTCATGTTGAAAATGTCAATATCCTAAGCACTGATTGGCCAGTGTAATATTTAAGCAATTAGTGTACACAGAACCACAATAAATTGTACTAAACTCAACCAATTGCAGTTGTTTTTAGCATATGATATTTGTATTTTTCTATCTCTACTCTATTTACAGGAAAACCTCAGAATGGAGAAAGATATTGGAGAGTTTTCTGAGAGACTGGTTGTACTAAAGAAAGTAAATCAGAAGCTGCAAAAGGAAGTGGACGGGTTTCAAGAACTGGAAGCAAGGGTAAATACTCAGAATTAGAATTTCTCTTCAAACATTTTGTTTTTCTTTTTTATTTACAGTCAGTGGATGGTTTTAGAAAGTTGTTATGTATATTTATAAAAAAAATGTATTTATTATTATTATTGTTGTTGTAGCTTGCTGAATGGGAGTCAAGTCGAGCTAATATGTCTAAAGAACAACAAGATTATTATGATCAACAGATACGAGAATATAAGCAACAAAATAGGGTAAGTACAGTAAAGTGCAATGATATCTGATCTTTTTATTCATTAAGAGAAATTAGTTTTCACTACCACCCCTTGCAGAACCAAGCTATGTACCTTTTAAATTTCAACAACTTAACTGGGATCTACTCCACACAAGTTGTTTAATCAAGCAAGCAACAATGATATATAAAATTCATTATAACCTGGTTAACATCCACTATCATGCATCCAGGGATCAACATATATTTCATCTAAAACAAATTATCCACTTAAGTACATAAATCTCAATGTACCAACAGCAAATGTCTGCCTTTTATCCAAGAGCACTGGCCATATGGAACTGACTACCTCCTGAAGCAGTCTTGCATATTACTCCATCAGTGCCACACTTCATGAGTTCTGCTGTTCCAGTCATCAGAAATATGACTCCTCTGTATGGCAGTGAAGTCCTATGACAAGTCAATTGATGCTGTATATAATGCGAACTCATTTTTTTTACTTTTTTTTGTCTGACTGGCTGCAGACATCACACTAGCACAATCATCCCAGTATAGATGATCTCATCTGTGAAGGGATTACCACACCAGGAACCAAGAAATCCATTATGAGTGAGTTTTGTACAGAGTTGTTTAATATTTCAATCTTGTGTTCCTTACCAGGAGATGCAGGATCGTCTGGATGAGGTCCATCAGGAATTAGCCATCACCAAGCAACAGTCCATTGAAAAGAAGGTCCGCCGTAAAGGAAGCCGCCTGAGGGACGTTAACAAACCAAACAGGATCGGTTCGGTCCTGTCTGATTACACAAAACCAGTTGTGGTTAGAAGGAGGCAATCATCTTCAGGTGAGTCAGTTGATGTATATTGTATTAACCCATAATGCAATTTCTACTGTTTTTAACAAGAAGCTATTCTAAGTTATTTTACTATATATATATATATATGCTATGTATTATTCATTTTTCACATACAACAACAAGTACACTCTCCAATTACAGAATGGAAGGATGCTCTGTGAATTATTTAAGATTAATTCTTGATTCATTAACCCTAAACACCCTGGGATTGAAAGACAACCATCTTAAGCTTTAATCTACCGCTCCACTCTGTTGATACCCCCAATATCCCCTTTCAAAGAAATAAATAAAATAAATGAATCCGCTCCCCAGAAAATGAATCTGATCTAGAGGACACTTCAAGTGGCACCAGGAGGCAGCTGCCGGTTGCTTTGAGATCAACTGGTGATGGCGGCTCTACAGAGGGAGAAGACCCCAAGATGGATCTGGAACGTAAGTCTAGCAATTTTTTGTGAATAAAATGATTTTTTGATTTTAGGTTCAGGATAATTGACCATCTTTATCATCAACAACACTACTGCTATCAGATCAAAGTATATTTTCACCTCTACAATCTCTAATTTCTTGGGATGATTCTGTATTCTTAACCTTTCCAATGGAACTCTAGAGATTTTGAATTTTTGCTCTGTTGATCTTCATTATGTTGTTGGTGTAATGAAATTCATAGTTACCATCATAGCTGGAATTTGATAAGTTTAATATATGCAAAATAATTAAATAAATAATACAGAAATTTGTAACTGCACATTTTGCCAAGGGATACAAGATGAATAAAAACAGAAGAAACATATTAATTTTGGTGCCAGTGGGATTATACTAATTTGCTAAATTACATATAATTCAGTTAAATCAAACTGTTTTCACACCATAATAAGTATTCATAGCGAAGGAAGTTTTACACATGAGTCATAAAGAGGTAATTCTAGGTGTTTTTCTTCCTTTTTTTTGTGCAGGAGCAAAATTTGAAGCTGAAATTGATGAACTGAAGGAGAAACACAGCAGGGAAATCCATGAAATCCGCAGCAACAGTGAACGTGAAAGACGGGACATTGAAACACAATTTAAAATCGAAATCACAGAACTGGAAGACAACTTTGAGAAAGAACGCGAAGAAATCATGAACGACTTTGATAAGGAGAAGGAAATTCTTCATGGAGATCTCATAAAAGAAATGGAAGATAAGTTACGGAAACTAAGGATTGATTTGAAAGAGAAATTTGATAAAGAAAAAGAAGTAATCGAGGAGAAACATGATAAAGAATTAAGTAATCGGGTGAAGGAAGTAAAAGAGGACTTAAGAAAAGAAAAGATTGAGCTGGAGAATCTTTTGAAATTAGAGAAATCCGAAATCGGCGAAGACTTGTTAAAAGAACGTAACACAAGTGAAGAAAAGTTGATGAAATTGCGTCAAGAGCTTGAAAGGAAGTACAGTGAGGATCTTGAGAAGTTGAAGGAACAGTTTGTGAAGGAAAAATCTGAGATCCTTAAGGATTATGAGCGCAGGATTGCTCAGTTAGAAATTGAGTTGAAGAAATCTGAGGAGAGATATGTGATTGAGAAGGAGCAGCTTATTTCAAATATGCAGAGAGATCAAGAGGAGTATAAAGAATTAGCAGAGTTTGATAAAGCTGAACTTTCTAATAGTTTCTTTGAGGAGAAGGAAGAACTTATTGAGAAGCACCAACGAGAGAAGGAGAGTTTGGAGAGAGAATGGTTAGAACGAGTACAGAAACAGTCAGCAGATCTAGAGGAAAAATATGCAAGAGATCTGCATATGAAAGGGGAAGACATTAAACATGAAACAATGGAAAGGGTGCATCATGAGTTGAAGGTATGGCATTCCAAATTATATATCTGACAATACACCATTAGCAGTCAACAGGTAGATATTCATTATATCTCGTACCAAACATGATTCTTTTGTTATGCAATTGATTAACTTTAGTTGAAAGAGAACTTAGTGTGTTAATATATTGTGTCTGTGTTGTGCAAATAAACTTGCATTGCATCGGCCGACAGTCGGCTGACATGAAGGCTGCATTATGACGAGGGGCATCATGAGTTACCGGTAAAGGTACTTCAAATAATTTACCTGGCAGTATGTACTATTAACATTTAACCATACTAGGCACACTAGTCACTGGTAAGCAAATATTCCAACAAAGAATAGCTAATAATAATAATAATAACAGGTGCATTTTCATTATGTAACATGTTATATCGTCATTGCGGACTTATAAAATCCGCATACGCCTTAAAACTAAAAGAAAATGCATACATTTGGAGTCCGTACTGAGCCCAAAAAATCCACAATGAAAATATAACGTGTTATGTATATTTCTACGCTAAGATTGACATTATTTTATTTGAAAAGAAAAACATAAACAGTAACTAAAAGAATTTTAAATAGGCAAAATCAAACTGGTACTGGTATAGCCATTTATAATGCCCCTGTTCCTTGCGGTTACAAAGTGCAGTTCTTTTCCCTTCTCATTGGATCCACATTCTTTAAGTGTTGCTGCTGGTAAACAGCGCAGGAGCAGGCAACCCCACCACTTCTACTCCTGGGTGGTGAGAATCAATGCAGATAAAGTGCCTTGCCCAAGGACACAAGCGAAATGCACAGCAAGGGATTGAAACCCTGACCTTGGGGTTGGGAAACCAAACTGTTTTCGCTGCGCCACACTGCTTTCACAATCAAAGCTGTTCTTCAGAAGATTTTATCAATTCTAAAAAAAATGTTTACATTACTTGTAATGTTTTACCTGACAGTCATTAAAATATCATTGGTTTAATAAATCAAAATTTGCAGGATGAAATTCAGAGGGAGTATGCAGACAAAATGAGGCAAGTAAAGGAAGCATTTGACATCGAGAAGACCAGCCTAGAAATGCAGAATGAGGTTCTCAGTGACAAGCTTCGTCAGGTAAGTACATTTCAAACATTATTCACATGATAGTTCATCATCAAATTTGGAAAAGATGAAACTGTGTATCCTGGCAACCTCACAGAAAAGTCTTTATGCTGGAAATGTATTTTCACCCACAATTATTAGTAGTCCTACATAATTATGTCTGCATTCATCCTTATTAAAAATAAAACATCCAACACTACTCTCACCCTGTAATTAGTATAAAGCACTGTGAAAGTATTGAAAATGTTGAAAGATGCTCTGACAGCAGAGATTTCAATTTTTGTAGTCCCATCTTTATATTGATTGTTGAAATAATTTGTTTTAATTTTTGTTTGTTCTAACTGTATTTGATGTTGTGTTTCATTGTTTGATTGTTACTAACTGAAAATATAATTTATCCAAAATTACTAATAATAATGGTAACAGTGGAGGACAGACTAGGTCATTTTTACACTACACATCGGGACTAAAACCAGTCTAGATTTTGGTCAAACATGTTTTTTACCTTTTGCTATTAGGGAGAGCATGCGACGCTGCTTTGAAGTGACCAATGGGAATTAATTATTGTTTGCTGTGAAATTTTGTTACCTCTGTTTAGTCATTGGTTAGTGGTAATTAAGTTTGGTACTTTTTATCTGACCTCGAGCTTGGTATCAATTAAAGTTACTCTTACCATACAAGAATAATTATTCTACAGATTGAGTTTGAAAAAGAATCCGATGAAAGTAAAAATGAATTAACAGTTTTTGAGAAGTTTACACAAACTGATGAAGAAGGAAACAGGATTGGATTCAATAATGCTTCTACCCAAACTGATACATCAAATTTAAATGATGGTAGCACACAAACAGTTAACGATGTCAAAGACCAGAATAGTCAGACCGATTTAGCATGTTACATGCTTGATGTGTCGGTACAGACATGCATAGATAAAAAACAAGATAAAAAATCCCAGACAATTGTTAAGGAGGTGATAGATGCTGTCATGCAGGTCTCAGAAACCGAGTTTGACGCACAGAATGGGAGTTCACCTCTGATAAACCATGCAAGTCAAACCGAAGTTGTTGAGGTGGTCGATGAATGGTGTCAGCATCAGTTGGAAGAGGTTTCCAGATTTGAAAATGTACTTTCCGTTGTTTACATTTATTTGCTTAGCGCACACCGTTGGTAGTAAGCACTCTTAGACTAGGCTTGTTAATATTCCATACTGGTATTTGAGGCTGCTCATAAAAATAGAAATTCCTGGAGTTTGGATAGGTTGCAATGGTACACTAATTCAAAGGTTGACATTTTAGGCTACGTCTCAAATTCAAATGGTTTCTTTTAAAGGGTTTTACCAGAACGGCGAAGGGACTTGGTATTTTTCTACCGCATGTGAGATATATGATATTACATCTATTTTGTATTTTTCTCTTTACAAAAGCTTTGTGCACCATTTTATCAATGCATATGTTTTTAGAATTTTCTGCTTGTTCTCAAATAGTTAAAATGTTTGAACAAACTTTGAACTATGTTTTAGTCAGTGTAAATGTAGTGTAAATAATGTTTCTTGATGTGGTATTCTGCTGTAGTTGCCCTCTATTAAAAGATACATGAATTTTCTAATAATGGTTAATATTCTACCAATGCTAAAAACTAACATACAGTATTGTTCTTAGAAACTTGCATTTATTTATTTTGCCAACTTCAAAAACAATCTTAATTAATAATACCAATCTCTCTTGGCTACTAACTCCAATGACCAAGTATAATTTCATAGCTTTGAACACTCAGCACTCTTGTATAGATGTGCACAGTCTCATTAGTACTGAAGTCGCAACTCAGTGTAAAGAAGAACTAAATATTTCAGAATAATTAAAAAAAAAGGATTATTTAATAATTTGTTATTGTTGCTGTTATTATTACTAATTACTATGTTTGTTATTGTTGTATTTATTTTTTCTATTATAATTGCTGTTATTACCTACATTGTTGAACTCTTCAGTATGTACTTCAAGCTTATTGTGATCTTATACTAATTGTACTATAATTAATTCAGGGAAGACAAATACATTTAATTCTGATTCTAATAAAAAGAAATGTAGTGACTTTCTGGTCTTTACAGCCACACTGACATACACATACTTCTTTTCGTACCAAAACAAAATAAACAACATGAATATCAACTCTTACAAATGCAGTACTGTAGTGAGTAATTTTTTTTTTAAATAGATATTCCTACTACCTTTATGCTTATTCATTTTGTTTACCATTTCTTTATTAGGCTAATGTTGCAAAGGAAGAGGCTGTAGTCGCCATGAACCTAAAAACGCAGCAGTCAGCGCAGTCGTTTGACCAGGTTTGTTTTCTCTCTTTCTTTGTTTTATTTGTAGTCGCATAATCTTGTTTTATTTTATTTATTTTTTTTTGTATTTTAATGTATTTCCATGCAAATTCAATACAATAAATCAAAAAACAACAATAACCTGAGGACTACCTATAAGCAGCCTTCATCACTATCAAAATGTTCTCTAGTAAACATTAAATAAACAGACAATTCAATTACATACACAAACAGTGAAAAGTGATTAAAATTTAAAAGAAAAGAAAAGCTTATGTAGTTGTCTTTTTTGTGACAAATCTGTATTCAATTTTGAAGAAATACTCAAGTCAGTGATCATTTACTTATTTTTAATTGGCCAATACTTGTACATTAATGATTCATCCTATTCCAGTTCATTTCTCAAAAAAATATTGGTGGTGTACCTATTCACTCACACATACCTCTTTACACACATGTGCAGGCTCGTATAGCATTTGCACGTGAAAAACTGATTAACGAAAGAACCATCGCGTCGTTGGAAGAACAGCTCACGACCACGAATAATAATCTGCAAGAATCTTTACAACAATACTTTGAGTATGAGGTTAGGCTCGATAACATATAGAGTTGGGATTTCTGGTTGTTAAACGTATGATGGATATTTTGTCTTCTTTGGGTTCAAGTGGCATGTTTTGGATTAGTTAAATACAATTCAAATACAACAGTTTTTATCTTGACTTTTTTCAATTTTTTATTAAGATAGAGCCAGGGTTTATTTTTAGTTTTCATCTTCAAATACTGTTTATTGTATGATCTTCAAATACTTTTACACAGCAGTTCATTGATTTGTTATATGTTTGTGTTCCTTATTTTCTTTAAGTACTTTTGAGATGGTAAACATATTACAGTGTTTAAACTGCTATAAAACATTCTTTTATAATTTTTAATTTTGGTTATTAAGTTGTTATATGTATTTACAAAATGAGAACGTTGTTTTTGTCTACTATTCTTTTGGAGTGGTTATTATGTATCGCATTCAAATACTTAAACAGGTGTATATTAACTTCGACTTGTTATTTCAGTGTCATTTTTTTGTCTTCAAATACATAGTTTCAGGTGGATTTCTTTTGTAACTTTAAATCATTCTCTGTTTAGGCTATGTTTTGTTCCAAAGTAAATTACTACACTCCAGAAGTTGGTAGCTGAAAAGATGAATCGATTCATCTAATTTGCAGTATTTATTTCATTAAAAATATGGGCCACTTTTTTTTTTCTTGGCTACACAATGGTTTACTTTCCTTTTCTTATTATTTTGTTATGTATTATTGTTAATTATTAGGTATTATTAAGTATTTTTTTAGACATAAATACTAATTCTTAGTCCTTGGTTTTTGCAGACTAAAGCTAAATCTTTGGAGGAAGAACTTGAGAAATTAAAAGAAGAGTTGAAACAGTCTAATAAAAAGGTGAGGAAATGATTTCAGAACAACTGTATTGACTGCATGGACATTCAATTTTTTTTTTTTTTTTTTTTTTTTTTTTTTTTGGTTACTATCAAACAAAAGCTGAAATGATACTAAATATTGATGCTTATATTATGTTTTCATAGCCATGCATTTATAAAATTCTAGAAAAATACAAGAAATATATGAAATGTATTATTCAATCAAGTTTTGTATTTGTAGTTACAATACTTTTACTATTGTTTGTTTTCACATTAGAATTTAGAATATATAACAATTAATAATTAAATGATAACAACAATTATTATTTAAAATAAATATATATTAATATCACATTTATACTGATGAATTTATAATTAGATAATTATTGATAATAAATTAAAATTACTTGGTTGTTCCATCACTATATTTATTGATAATATAACTATTGATAATAAATTAAAATTAATAACTTGGTTGTTCCATCACTATATTGACTTATTTCATTTTTTGCAGCTAACTGAAAGTCAGATAACCGTAACAGTATTAGAGTCGCAGCACATGCGAGAATTGCAGCGTTTACGAAACAAACAGGACCTTGCCGCCCAAGGCGAGGTAGGCCAGCTTCGGACAAAGCTAATTGAGAAAGAGGTCCAGCTGAAGGAGGCCGAGAAAAGAATATTAGAGAACAGTGTAGAGAAGGAAAAAATAGAAGAGAAAGTGAAAGAAGAATGCGAGAAAGATTTAAGAAAAGTGAAACAGAGTAAACATGACTTGGAAAAGAAATACAAGAAGAAAAGTAAATTGCTTGATGAATATGTCAGACAGCTTAAAGAAATGGTAAGTACAGTAATTCAATTCAATTCAATTCATTTTATTCAGTCTATTATACATAAATATAACAGAAATGTGCTTTGAAGCTAAGCGCTCAAACATAAATATAAGTATTAAGTGATGTTAGAACAGTAAGATAAAATATAAAAACATTAAAAGACAGTAAAAAGTATTAAGATATATTATTAAAACAGAGTACGATGATAAAAGACAAAGAGCAGAAAATGCATTAAAATAGTATAAAATTATTGCATAAATATGATAAATTAAAATAATAATATTGATAATGAAAATATTGTTAACAATAATAATGATCCCATCCTACATTGTTTCTATCATTTGTTGACTTTGTATAAAAGAAGCCTTTGCTAATATTTCAAGCTGAAATAAAAGTACTAAGGCTGTGCTTAAAACCTAATATTACATCAATAAAAGTCATTTTTTGACACCAGTAATTTTAAAGCCATGTCCAGACTATCAAATTTTATTTGACAAAAACATGTGACATGCCTAAATATGGTCATGATGACATCACATCATGACCATATATAGGCACATCATGACTATGTATAGGCATATACAACAGTTTTTTGCCAAATACAATTTTGGTAGCGTAGACATGGCTTTAAAATTATTGGTGTCATCCATGTTTTACTGGTTCTATCAGATTAGTGATGGTTCAACTCAATTTGTTAATAATACTGTTTGTGATATTATCAGTTGTATATAAACCTTAATTGATAATTTTTATTTTTATAAAATAGAAAGTATTAAAAACAAATTACACACTATAAAATAATTCTATAAATAAGCATATTGAAATGTAATTGAAACCTTTACTTATTCCAATAATCATTTATTAATCATTTGGTTTTAATATTTTTTGTATTAACATTTTATTGCAGTTGACCAAATCAACAAAGAATAACACATTGGTCAAAGATCTTTACATGGAGAACACTAAACTGCAGCAGGCACTCTACACGACAGAAGAGCGGCAAAAGACGGCAGAGAAGAACAGTTACGAACTGATGGAGAAGAACAAGGCATATTATAGAATACTGAAGAAAGTATGTCCTGCTGCTCTTTGAGGACTGACATTGTTTTGAATGACTCCAGAATATGGCAGCTCTCTGAGAGATGCCATTGGGTCTGAAGAATGTGTATGGCAATTGTCTGAAGACACTTGTTCTTTGATATTGATAATGGCAGTGCTCTTGAAGCTGCCATCATTTTGAAGAGCTGCTTGGAGCGGCAGCTCTTTGAGAGCTTTTCACCCGCAATGTTTCAATGAGCTTCCTATCGTCTGGTCTCTGAAAAAAAGTAAAGGTCATACACACAATTCGCGACCACTTTCACTTCCTGGGTATTTTATGAACTTTCGACCAACCACAGAGGGAATTGTGTATGACATTGCTGAAGTTGTGATGTCCCGATAGTACAGTGCTTATTTCTTTGGAGTCATTAAATCTTCCATATGATGTAATTTATTCTATTATATACAAAATTTAATTAAAATCATAATCATGATGTTTTGGTTAAATTCTTAATTCCCAATATCAATTTCCAATAATGAAGTGTTTTGTGCATTAGTTTAAATAATTGCCATTTAATTTGGTGATTATGTACATAAATGCATTTTTTACTCTTTATCATGAATGTTCATAAATAATTATCTGAATATATGAATATTGATAGCCAAAAGGTGCTATTGGATAGATAACTAGCAATAACTCATGAATAATGCATAGACAATCAAGTATGTATACTGTATATGAAGGTGAAATTCTATTATCTAATTAAATTCCTTCAAAAATTAAGTAGACTAAAATTTTCTATGCATACATTTTTTCAAACATTAACTTTTACAAGAACATTAAAAGGTAAAGGGAAAATAGAAGTAAAATGAACTGAAAGTTTTTATAATCATGATTGAAGAATAAATGCTTTTGAAATATAAATTAATGATTACAAAATAATTATGTATTGATAAATATATAATTAGTTTAAAAAAATAGTTTTACACCGTCCAATGAATTCAATACTGGATTTTTTTTACATTTTAATAAATGTTTGTATTTTTTTGTCTTATGTTTTATTACAAGGAACCATTCAGTATTTGTAATGCTGTATCCCATTCCTACTTGACAGGAATTTATTATGTTCAGATCCTGTAAATTTGGAATTATGGGATATATCCATATATAATATGGCAGCTATTATTGATATCCCATAATTCCTACTCAACAGAACAGTTTCTATGAGTTGATCAGTGCTGTTACAGATTCGCTGTTACTACTGTATGTTAATTTATCTGTTATGTACACCAAGATGTTTTTCACTATATTTTATGGATGCATTTCACGGTTTTGTTTAAATACCATTCTATTGTTTGTGTTGTACTAGGCTATGCCATATTGATTTGAGCTGTATTTATTCATACTGGTATAAACACTCGGTAACTTGCCCCATTTTTCCAAAGAAACCCTGGCACTTAGTAAAAAAAATGATAGATACATTATATTTTCAAAATATTCTTAGCATAATTTATGTACAGTGTGTTGTACATGGTGTTCTATGATGAAATCTGGTAAATACCGCCCTCATTAATTATACTGTAGTTTAGAGTAAATAAAGCACAAACAATATACTAGAATTTATAATCAGTAATTTTTATGTATAGGAAGAAGCCATCACAGTCTGGTAATACTATAATAGCCAGTTGATATAAGGCCCATATTTTAGATTAGCAACCTCTCCCCACAGCTCTTGTGTCATATATGGGGAGGGAGTGTTAGCAAGACAACCAAATACTTTTTTTATTGGTTCCATGTATTTGTCACAAAGACAAGCCAAACTAGTCACTCATCAGAAATCGTGTTTCAGAGATAATGACCAAAACATGCTGAAATGCCAACATATTGAAAATTTACTTTATTGCACTAAACTAATCTTTGTATATCTTTACATATGATATGCTATTATTTCAGTATTAAAACAACAATTTATAACCATTTTGGTGATGGTTTCTGCCTGAGAAATGCCCAAAATCATAAACTTTGAAGGCTGATTTCTCAAATAATGTTCTTTAAACAGCTGTATGTTTAAATGCTTGTAACTCCAAGGAAATGTCGGATTTAAATGATTCTTTTACCATTTTATAGCTCTTATTTTCATATTTTCTGTATTAACTAAAAAAAGAATTTTGTGACGAGTGACTGGTTTGGCTTGTCTTTGTCACATTTATGATCATTGTAAATTGTGACCATTCTTTTTATATGCATGTTAAATCCATAGTAAATGTACTTAAAAATATCATAACAATTGTGTGAGAGGTTGGTGCAGCGGTTAAGAGTTGTGATCTCAATCTTCATGTTGGGTGCTCAAACCTTCGCTGTGCCTCGTGCTTGTGTCCTTGGACAAGGCACTTTATCTGCATTTGCCTTTCTTCGCCCAGGAGTATAAATGGGATAAAACTGGTAGGATGGTGGCATCCAAACAACTACTAAAGTAATGTCTACCTCTTTTCTGAGTTTTCCATGTTAGCTGCTTCATATAAATCTTAATAGTGTCCTGCCCACCTTTAAGCCTATTCTACAACATTGAGGATTGCATTTTAGTGTTAACTTTCAGTGGTGGACCCAGGAATTTGAAATAGAGGGGGCCCTGGGATGATTATGGCACTTGTGGGCATTATCTAGATGGCCGGAAATTTAAGAATTAAAATTTGTATATAATTTTTGTTCCTTAACAATTTTTTTATTTTTTTATTTAAGGGGCTCGAACCACCTTTTATTGAATCTGCCACTGATGTTAGTTTATGATGTTTAGAATACCTGTACAGTTGCAACCTACATTTAGATTTAAAAGAGATATATATCCCAGATTATCTATGTCTAGCTTTCAAATATCAGAGATATTTATTTCACTTTTGCAATATAAATCATTCTCATCCGTCCTTTAGCTCTCTGGACAAATATCTATAATTTGCCCATTTATAGATGTGGTATGTTTATTTTTATACCCATAATGTGATTGTGATATTAAACTATCATGCCCATATATGGACAAATCATATTTGTTGGATAAAATAAGATTTAATTAATTATACCTTGAAATTTATTGTAAGAAAATGATTAGTTGTATATTTTGTATTTAAAAGAGAATAGAATTAATAATAGTTTTATCTAGTAAGTTTTGAGATTTCCATCTAGTATATACATTATCATTGCTTTAGAGAGATAATACTGTTTTTCATCCGTCCTCAAATGTGTACAATACACAGCCATCTTAGAAAGTATTCTATTTATATGTCAAAAATACTATGTAAAATATTGTGTAAATGTTTGGTTTGTTGGGGGACACACATTTTCTCATTTTAAGCATAATTGTTGACAAATAGTCATTGGTAATTTGTTTTTATTTTTATATATAATCCTTAAAACTTTTGTATTTTAAGTATATAAGTTGGTTGAGTGATAAATTTTATTTTTTTTTACAAGTATATCACACAAGTCGGTATCATATGACCAAATTAATTCTTAAAACTTTTTTTTATGTATATAAGTTGGTTAAGTGATAAATTTACATTTTTTTTTTTACAAATATGTCACACAAGTCAGTATCATGTAATCAAATTGAACCAATAAGAATTATGTCATCATCAAAATGTGTTGTGTCATATTTCACATGTGTAAACAGAAGTTTATTTCATTAATAATAATTATTTAGATGAAATTGAAATTTAATGAATTATATAAATATATTATTTAAAGAGGAATTGATTTCCATTGATTATCGAAAAGCCGTCCATATATATCATCTTGGTTACTTTAACGTCCATCAGAGTACATCTATGAGAGAGGATGTTAAACTTACACAATATTTGCTTTTTACAATATCTTAATTAGTTTTCATATTATTTATTGTAGCCTTCCAGTGATAACCGTCGTGTTATCACATTATCATCACTTATCGCCTTGTATGAATTTGTATATAGGTTTGTGTGTTAAAAACATGTATCTTTCTGTTGTACAATATCACCAAAAAATTGTAAATACTTATACAACTTAAGAAGAGTCTGGTTTATTATCCTAAGTTTAATCTTTTCTAAGTTTTCTAGCAAATAAATAAAATGAGTTCGTAATTCCAGCTTTATTTTGTTTGAACTGTTGAGCTTGTGATGAATCATCATGACGTAATTATCATCATCACCATCTTCATAATCATTATTAATATCGTTATTATCAACATCTTCATCATCATGAATAATAATATAGGGATTTATCATTACCACCATTGTCTCATCCATTGACCGATTCTATGGACCCCCCCCCCCCAAAAAAAAAGGGGGAAAAAAAGCTGGAGCCATTTACTATGACTTGTGCAGTTCTCTTCTATTGTTTTATTGTCCGATAAAGTAACAGAAGTTCATTTGAAACCAAACAGAAGTTAAAAAATGTGCGCGCCAACCCAATTTTAAAAAACACCATAACATACGTAAAAGGTTATAAAACGAAATGTATAGAAATATATGTAAGTTCTACATAATTAAGACAAAATAGTTTTTCTATTGATTACCAAACTGTACCTTTAATTACTATTTAGTGTTTTAGTTTTTGCTCCATTTTCTTTGTCATTACCAGTCTCTGCTCTGTAAGGCTGATTAAGGAATATGTTACAATAATGCAAATTATCATGATAATTCTTCCTGATAGGCCTATTCAATTACTTGACCTATTTCTATTTATAAGCTTTTACGTTTAAATAGCGAATTTTAAAATTGGTTTGAGCGCACACTTTTGAACTTCTGTTGTTTGGTTTCAAATGAATTTTCTGTTATTTTATTGGACAATAAATGCGATCTTGAATCTTTTCCAAAAGCACTACAACTAGTAGACCGTGTTTTATTATTCATCTAAATAATTGTACTACATTTGGTGATGAGGACCATTTCTAAATATAGGCCTGCCGCAATGAAGTACGTAACACGTGTCGTAATATTCGATGGAGGTTGTTAAAAAGTGCTGACATAATTATTCAAACAATGCATTGTTGTGAGTCTGTGTGCAGAGAATATAAATAAAGCCAGTGTATGCAGAAAGGGCATGACTAGTGGAAGGGTCATCCTTCACATAAAGAGCTTGACAACCGACTGGTCAGCTACGGCAACGTTAACGTCACAAGTTTCGTTTGGGTATGGGTGTGCTCACAGTGGTTTAAGGTCTCCAATCCCGCTATGCACACCCTTCCGCCAGGTGTAATGCGATCCACAAAAAGAACGTCAAAGAAACGTTCGAGTGAATAAACAGAAACAAACATATTCTTGTAACAGTAACATGTAACAGTACAGTAAATATCATTAACATAATAGGCCTACACTACATTATTATGGCTAAGCCTTTCCGTTGCATCTTTGGGATGGAAGGGTGAAGGAAACAAATTTAGTTTTACTTTGGTCTGGGGGAGAAATTAAAAGTCGGTTACTCTGCCCAATTTTCGGCGAATCAGTGGCGCGGGGGATAAGCCCCCAGTCTCCCCCTCCCAAAAAATGCTTATTAGTTAATCACCTCAATCCACCTTATATCGCAAGCTAGCTACCTGTCACCTAATCATCGAGCCCCCCTCCCCACTTCAACTTCGCCCCAACAGCCCACCCCTCCCCATTTAACCGAGACTCCAATGTACACCACTGCGGTGAATATGTATTAGCGCTACTATTGAACTTCCTATGCATAGTTACCATCCTGAGAGATTTTAAATGCGTGACTGTATACCTTGACTGGGAGGATCATCAGGGCCCCGGGGATCCAGGGGCGGAGTCCAGGTAGGGGCCCGGTTTCATTCACATAATCAACGGTTGGTTGTGACACTGAACGCGCAAGACCGCACGCACATCCATATATATTTTAGGCCTACTAAGTGCATGGCTGCTGGCTGGTTGTTTTTGTCGGGAAATAAATTTTCTCGATGAATTGAATCTCGAACGAGATAGCCTTCTAATGACTCATGTTACTGCATGACAGTTTTTATATTTTTAATAAAACCAATTTCTTCTAATTCTAAATACATTTTTCCCTGAATTCGGGATAATTCCTTATCACGCATAGACTTGTGCTAAATGCGTGACAAATTTATGATCACGCACGTGTTTCTGCAAAATGCTTGTTTCATCAAAAATCACTTTAAAATGCGGGATCGTCCCGCACGATGCGAGACGGTTGGTAACTACATTATGTATAGGTAGAATTTATCTATAGACACTACGGTATTTTTTCGATTCGTCTGATCCAAAGTTCGTGTAGGGCCTACCCAATGGGTGTCACCAGGAATCAGGATGAGTTCATGCTTAGGTCTATACCATCAGACATCGGTGGGAATGGGAGAATAAAAGGAAACACGCGAACCAGCAGCAATATTTACAGGTGAATAGACATCAATTGTATTGGTTTACTCATCCTGACATATTCGGTGATCTGTCACGTCGATGCGAACCAGATAAACCGTGAAGGAAAACACTGAAAAGTCAATATGCCATGGGAGAGGTTTTGTCAGGCTACAGCACCCGTAACTTACGATAATATTTTGAAGCCTCACGCGTTCCTGCCATTACACCCATGCATCGAAGCATATACATCTAAGAAAGATATCCATTTTCCTCCATTTAAATGTCAATGGCGTTTACTTTACTTATGATTTAATGTTAAACGTATAGATCTAATTACAACCAATCACATGATAAAGAGTACAGGATGATTACATTTGTAACAGGCATTGAAGGATGAATACGGAAATTAATACTGTATATTGATCCTATACACGCCGTTAATTCTTGAGAGAACAAGACTGCACCTATGTATTATTTTGTATATCTATAATTTATTTTCATTATTAATCGCCGATCCGAATACTCAGTACAACTTAAAAAGGAACGTAAAGGCCTATTTATGCTTGTAAACATGTTTGTCCCTCTCTTTTCATAACTCATTCTTTGATTTATTTTTTTAATGCAAATTAAAAGCACAAAACGGAATTTTCGGGTCATTTCTAATACCTCTTTCGACTGCAATTTTAAAGAAAACGCCTCACTGATTTACCTCAATAGGTTCAAATTTGTACACGACCCTTTAAGAGCACTCCTTTGTTATGCAATGAAGTTGGTTCCACTTCATTCACCATAGTGTCGGAACGCCCATACCTTGTAGACGTCATGGATAGATGTCATTATTATTTTTCCTTTTGAAGAATGACACCGCTGAATCATTATGTACCGTGTACGAATGGCCTGTGTATGTTAGTTTAATTTGACATGATGACATTCTAAAGGATTTTATGATTTTGTTCGTATTGGTGGCGTTTAAAGGTAAGTATATAGCCTGTGATGTTATATAATGTATTGAGAGACGCATATGGTGTTAGTAGAATTATTATTTAACTCAATGCAAGTGGAAATATCAATATATACAGTAGTAGTCAGTGAACCTATGACATAGTAAACGTTTATACTCATTTGAATTGTAATTTGTGTTGGGCAGTAATAAATCATAGCTACATTAGCATTTTGTTATAGTGAAAAATATTATAATAACAATATATTGGATATCGGTCTCATATGTATAAACTAATAGACAATTAATAATATATATTTAATAACAATCTAATTTAATAATAATTATATACAATATATATATATATATATATATATATATATATATATATATATATATCTGTTGTTTTGTTTTGTGTTTTATACCTTAATAAATATATATATATATATATATATATACTTATATAGTGTCTTTAGAAGACTGTCTCTTATACACATCTAGATGTGTATAAGAGACAGGTACTGATGGGTTCGCATAATGAAGGGTTGGGGGGAGGGTCGATGATTAGGTAAGGGGAGCTAGCGCGCAAAAAAAAGGTGATTTTAGGTGATTTTTGATTACTTGAGCATGGTTTTTTGGGGGGGTCGACTGGGAGCGCGAATATTTTTTGGAAGGACATGCGCCACTCCCCCTCCCCCGGCGTACAGGTACCACGATACACAACTGATTATAATTAGCTTATGCTGTAACATTACAGCCACCATTATCTCTCGTCGATATATGTTCAAAATCGTAATGTAATTATTTCACTGGTAGCCTTGGTATCTAACAAACAACCAGGTATAAAAGCTGACTCATTGACGTTATTGATTTTTGCGAGGAATTTCATAAAAGTCTGCGTTTTCAGAACACATGTTGCACGGACAGATGAAACGTGACCATTATACTTGGCCTTTTGTAACCTTGGATACATTAATGGTCAAATCAATATCTCGTATTAAGCGTAATTTATGAACGAAATATGATATAAATCGGTACACACGTAGGGCCGCCTAAATTAATGTAAATAGGATTAGGTGTATCTTAAGTGCACACTGTCATAAGTCCACTTATGTGGGTGGAGGATATGAGGACTTCAGGGCGCTCTAGTTGCAGCGCACCTGGAGACATTCAAAGTGGTACGTTCGTTAAAAAAAAATATAAGAGTGTGTCAACTATATAATAAGCTTATATACTATAAATTTAAAGAAAAAATATGCTTAAAACTAACTGCGTTCGACTCCATTATTTGGTCGTTCTCATACGAATTATGCATATATTATAGTGAATGATCTTGTCATGATCATGGTTTTAACATATCGATTATGCAAGCCGGACATTATGCTTATATATTTTATATGGTAATTTATATTTACGAGGCCCGTTTATGTTGGTTACGATGTTTAGAATTGTGTGTTTATCGAATTTCTCTCGTGCCTGTCCAAACACATTTACTTGGCTCAAACCTTACACTTTTTTATATTACTCTAAATTGTACTTAATAGCATACTGGAGGCATAGATATTGTTGTGTTAACAAGCTTTGGTGAAATTTCCACAGTGACAAATTATTCACATTTTCTTTTTTCCAGAATCTGGTCACAATGAGTGGGACAACTGAAGGCCTCTCAGATGGTAAGAGATGATTGGATAAATATTATTAAAATACTATTTCCGTTGTTCAAATACTGTATTATAATAGAAACCACGCACATATTGTTCCTGTACTTTTTAGTTGCATTGAACTTTATGCTTAGGACTATAGATAATTTATCAGACTTATTAAATGCATCCCGATGTTTTTCATAAGCTCATCTTCAAACTACTTCTTCCAGCCCTAGGCATTCTGTTGTGGGACCGTTTCGACAGTCCCACACAATTTTTCTAATGGGTCCACAAAGAATTGGTCCACATTTTTAAAAATGGGTCCAGATTTCTCATATTTAGCTTAAAATTGATAAAATTCTAGAAAATGGGTCCAGATTTTTCATATTTTTGCGTAAAATGGGTTCACATTATTTGCCAATACGTGTAAAGTGGGTCCACCCTGATACTGTCCGCACTGTTTGAAAATCCTGGCTACGTATTGATTACCACCAACATCGTTATTATCGTTGTCAACTCCCACATCATCATTTTTCTCCTCATTCACCATCATCAAAATTCACTACAGCCACAACAGCACCATCATCATCACCCTTACCATTATAATCATCCTCATTATCATCTTTATAGGTCATCATCATCGCTATCATCATCATCCTTATAATCATCATCATCATCATAACCGTTATCATTCAATGTCACCACCATCATAATCATTCCCCATACAATAATATGTGTTAGTCTGCAAAAATGTGTTTTCCACATGTATATTTTTTTATTATAGCTAATTTCCTTTTTTTTATTCAAGTGAACAATGATGGAAACGATAACAGTAGACTTATTGCCATCCTTTGCGCATGTGCAGTGATCTTTTCACTCATATTGATTACTGCTATCGCTGCGCTTAGCTACTACGTATGCAAAAAGAAGTAAGTATTATATATAGAGATTCATAATTCATAAGAATTAACAATTTTGTTTTCCTCAAATAGAGATGGCAAATAACAAAATAATAAATTGTTCTTGTACAATTTTATCTTCCATACTTAAATATTATTAACAATTATTGTAATATCATAATAATTTATTTATAATAGTATGCATAAATTATTATTATTGTTATTATCAAGATTATTATATATATGTGATAATGATGATAAAAATAATGATATATATAGGCCATATATATGTTATATATATATATGTATATATATATATATATATATATATATATATATATAAATCATCAAAGAAAGGTATATACAGTGTTCGAATAAAGGACATAATACATCGTGTAGTATAGCTCTCAACGAATGTAGTCTTATAAATAAATGAATAAAGAAATTGTGTAATAAAATGCCTATGACTAGATTCGAACCTGCGAGCTCTCTCTGTCAAGGCGAGTTTCATAACCATTAGAGCAGAGGCTTCATATTCCAATATCGCCAGGTACACTCCATTAAATAATAGGTAAACACTGTATTTACCTTTTTTGATGATTTATATATAATATAACAGTGTTAACGGCTTTCTTGATTTATATTATATTATATTATATATATATGTATATATATATAATTACTTCCATAATTAAATATTATTAACAATTATTGTAATATCATAATAATTTATTTATGATGGAATGCGTAAATTATTATTATTATTATTATTATTATTATTATTCTATTATTGTTATTATCAGGACTATATACATATATATATACATATCTGTCTCTATATATATATATATATATATATATATTATTTACATTAGGCCTACTTGATTAACACTTTGAATAATATGTACGTATTTACATTATAACAGGCGAGAATTGGAAAGTATGGAATCGAAGCTTGGTGACTTAGATGATGTTGATCGTATTATGTGGGCGGAAATGGGGCGAAAAGATGACGTAGTAACAGAAAACCCTGCCTTTGGCAAGGAGGATCCCGCTGACTTTGAACCCCTAGATGTGGTAAGAATACAGTAATACTATGCTTTAAAATTGTAATAGTATCAAGTCAAGTATGTATTCACTTATAAACATTTAGGCCTATAAACATAATTCCTAATATAATATAAGTGCCGAGGAACCAAGACGGTAGAGCCTGTGTTTTTGGTCTCTGATCTACAGTACTTTAAATACGGTATATAGTATATCTTAGCTACAGAATAAACTAATTAATTAATCAACCACCTAATTAATTAACAAATTAACCAACTAACTAATCAATCAATCATTCATTCAATCAATTAATCTTTTTTTTTTCATTTGAGCAAAAATATATTTTTTGGGGAAAAAATAAAAATAAAGGCAGATTGTTACTGTGGTTGAATAAGGTAGCATTCACGTTAATTCACGTTATGCGAGGCTAATTGATGCGGGATTTGAAAACGAGACCTATCCAAAACATGTCGCAAAAGAAGAATGAAAAATCTAAACCAAAATTGTAGGCCTATCGTCAGGCGTCAAATTTGGGGAAACCACTGAAATTTTAATTATTGTATTGAATAGCTCACGTAAAAGCACTAAACGTTATTAATTTCAAATGAGACACACATCGAAATCTTTTTGTTATTAATAGTAAATTAAATTGAAAAAAACAAAAAAAAACAAATCTCATCTTTGCCATATGCCTGTCATCTACTGTCAGTATGACAAAGTTTTCATAGTCACATCTCTTTATACCGTTAATACATCTCAACTCATTTACCTCTCGACGTCCAACTCACTTGATCTTCTTCCACTGTACTGTATATATTTTTATTTGTCTCGCAATTCAATTTGTTTGTATATTTTGTGTATTCCCTGCTCTGGAAAATAAATTTCATGTACTGTACTTGTATTTGTATATAACAATACATGGAATCTTGAATCTTATGAAATCCTTAAATTAATTACCAGTCATATTAAGGATTAGGCCTATGCGTTCGTAATTTGTGCGAAAAATAATAATAACGCAAAGTTTACACATAAACATAAAAAATTGAATTTCTCATTCTCCATATAAGAGACAGCATATAATGATCTTTGGGGTGGAGAGGAGAGAGGGAACAAACATATTCAGCAAAGTAGGCCTACATTAAGCAATAACATGGTCATGTACTGTAACGGAACAAAGAAAACGATCAATAAAAGGCTTAGACCTAATATCAAACGATACATTGCTGGCTATTATTAAACGGGGTACCGGCAGAAATGTTGTTTATTTACATGCTTTGTGATTGCCTATTTGCAATGGTTTTATTCCCATCCATATCATAACGTTCATGTTTTGTCGATAAGTTGCATGCTCCGGTAAATCCGCTAGATTGAACGGATTTCATTGTAAACAATGTCAAATTGTTGTTTACGCAAACAATATATAAAATAGGGTAGATAGTGAGCTATAAATCTCGATTTCCATAGAATCGCTCACCCTATCAACGACATTAGCAATCGGGAGGGTACCTCCTGCAAAGTAATCGGCAAAGTTGAGCCAGGTCCAACCTTCCAGACACTGCTGGTGACTGTTGCCGACAGGCAGGGTGAGCGAACCTATAGAAACGTTCAGTAGGCCTACAAAAAAATATTGACTTAATAATAATAATAAAGATAATAATGATAATAATAATAATATTAATAATAATAATAATAATAATATTAATAATAATAATAATAATAATATAAATAGAGCTATCCAATTCCAAAGATGAAATAGCATTCAATGAATGTGTTATACACGACTCTAAAGCGTAGTTTCCATAGAATCGCTACACAGTCGCTAAAACTGCAGCGTTTTCACTGCAATTCTTGCACTGCGTAGCTGTCCCCCGACTCAATCGGGAACGCTCTCTGATTCAACTGACCAATCAGCGTCGCCAAAGGAGTCGGCGAGAGCGTGTAGCTACTTTTATGGTAACCAGGTTTTATATCTAAAACATGAATATGAGTTAAGATAGTATAATACATACTCCAAGTATCGAAATGCACGCCATCGTTTCGAGATTCAATATTTCGCATTACTAATGTCATCATCAGGAATGAAAAAATATTAAATGTGAGTTAACATTTTAATGTACACCTATTTTTATTGCAGACAGGAATAGAAAAGGAATTTGATGACGAATATGAAGAGGAAAGTGAATCAGAAGAGAAAGAAAAACAGAATGGCGAAGACGGTGAAGACAAAAAGCCAAAATCAAGTCGTTTATCAATCCTTGACGCAAATACATGGTCTGGGATGCCAAATAAAAAGAAAAAAGCACCACGAAAACAAATTCCAAGAACTGTTTCAAGATTAGAAAATGACCCACAGATAAGAAATGAGATTGCAAGCAAGTTTGAAAATCCCACCACGTTAAATTTTGACTACACGTTATTTAACCTGAACTCGGGACCCAATCAGCGTACTGTTAATAACTACGAAGTTGGTAAAGGAGTTGTGGATGATATAGAAGAAGGTGTGCCTCCCCCACATATACCAAGCGCGGGAAACAGGTTATTATGGCAAAAGAAACGATTCAAAGACGTGTAAAAATGCTCATAGAAACTCCGACCTGTCCTGTTATAGTCCTATTTTTATAAGACTTAAAATCAGAATTGTCTTCTAATTATAATATGTGGTGGTGCAGTCCAAGACAATTGTTTTGGAAATTAAAAATGCAAACTTTTACTTCATGTGAAGATGAGAAATGAGCCTATACTGAGAAAAACAAGTTTTTAACTGTAGGCGTAACGTACATCCACCAACAAGTTATAACGCGACTCAGCTAGCCGGCAACGCGATTTAAAAAGGAAACGCGTTTATGTGGATTATTTGATAATTAATCGGTACCGGTATTTGATAAGTTTATACGGTCGTAATATTAGCTAAAGGAAATGCCAATCAATTTATTACGTATTTTATCAGGAATTCATTTTGTTTATTTAACAGACAATAGCATGTAGGCTTATGGTAGCTGAAATGTTTTTGAGTTTCCGCATTGAGTTTCCGCATTTCAAATGATTATATCGATTTAATTCTGCAACTTTTTGGCAGCTTCATTTTGATAGAATTTCTTTGATGCCATAAAAAAAAAAATTATTATACATAAATATATTTTGATATACATAGTTACCAACCTGAGAGATTTGAAGTGCGTGACTACATCAGTTAGCGGGGGTCGATACAGGGCCCCGTTGAGGTCTAGGGGCAGATCCTAGACCTTTTAAGTTGTTTTAAAACGATTTCAGGGAGTGTTTGTTGACAATACTTGGTACATAAACAAAAATATTGTTAATAAAGCCACGTACTATTTCAGTTCCGAAGTACAGTAGGCCTATGTTTAATTCGAGCTCCCAAACTATGTACACATTCATTACTCAAACAAAAAAAAAATGAATAGGCATAGTGATCAATTTTAAGTAACGCGTCAGTGAATTAAGTACGGTATTCACGTAAATACTGCACTCTTCAATTAACTGTACTCGAGTTATTGCGGCCAAGTGACAGTTTTATATTTCAATAAAACCAATTTCTTCGAATTTTAAATACCGGTACATTTTCATCTGAATTGAAGATAATTAATTATCACGCATATGCTAAATGCGTGAAAAATTTATGATCACGAATGTGTTTCTGCAAAATGCGTGTTTCTTCCAAAATCATTATCAAATGCCGGACCGTCCCCCACGATGCGAGACGGTTGGTAACTATGCATGGATCTCTCCCAATAAACACAGAACGTTATAACATTCGCTATTCAAGAGTTATAGTAGTAGCATGGAAGTTAGGTTAATGTCAGAAAATTACATTCACACAACGTTCCAGCAACGTTGTGTTATAAATACGTACTTGACACAGGTACAATGTGACCATGCTGTGTGACGAACACTTCTACCATGCAGTTTTTGTCTTCAATCATTTTAAGACTAAATGTCTGGTTTCTAAAGAACCGCTACATGTTGTCAACAGTTTTTGAGACGCTGATTGGTCGGCTACGCAGTGTAACGTTGGTGACAGCATGGTAGCCGCAGTGTAGCGATTTTATGGAAGCAGGCATATCACATGGGTCATGATGTTAATCTTTTCAAACGATGATAAAGTTCAACAATGAGGGCTCACTAGAATGATGTCATGAGACTCCATTTTAAATCTGATATGTATTTTGTTTTATTGACCTACAATAAGACACAATATTTCTGGCGACAATAATGATTGAAGAATTTTAATATTTTTAAAGATTTTTATGAATGAATAATCTAATACAATCATAAAATATGTAAATAATATTCACGCTGGTTACATAAAAAGCATATTTTTATATCTTTTATAAAACTATTGATATAATTTTCTATTATAAGATTTCTGTTATTTGCTTTTCTCTGGGTAAAATCACTTTACATTGAAATGGTAGCTATTTATTGAATATCTCAACAAAACGTTCTATCTGTGTTTATAAATATTGAATAAAGTATGATATAGAAACTACCACCAATTACCGTATGTTTTTTTTTGTTTTGTCAAAGCACACATATAACATAATATTATTGAACGTCAACGCCATTATCATAGTCTACCTTCTATTTGTATGTATTAGTACTCATTAAACTTTTTATCATTCAATGAAGAAACATTAACTGTTCATTCAATCTTGGGATTTTTTGAATGATATGGAATTTTTGTTTTTATCATGAAGACAATTTAAAAATAAATTCTAATGGCCAAACAGCCCTTTAGTTTACAATCGTGGATGAGGGCTGCCCATTTGTTCAAAATTAAAGACCCATTGAAGACTTAGTAGTTTTTTTTTCAATTCTTCTGATAAGTCTGTTGTTTAGAGACATTCTCATCCTTTTCCAAAATAGTATGAATTTTAAAGTTAAAGCTCTTACGTCCCATTGGCAGAATGAGTTTGCTTCAGACAACAAGTATGTAGTGCTGAAAAAACTGAGCAAGAATATTGATGCCAGGAAATCGCACCTTCTCATATTTTGTAAATGCTTTTCACTGTGTCCTAATTTGAAAGTTAGGTGTTAAATCAGATTCATAAAAAATACTTACGCTTACTAGCTTACACCCCACAAAAATAGAAGTTAAAAATCAATGCTTTTTTTCTATTCATATCATGCTAACTGGAATATTTTCTGTGAATACAAATATAATAATGACAATTGCATTTTTTTAATTGACATGATTTTAATTTAAAGGCATCTTTGACCCCACCCACTCCCCTTCAGAAAATTCTACACTCAGTTGAAAAAAATAGGTACCTAAAAGGTACATGTGGCTACTGAGCTCATAATAATACTGGTGTGGCGCTTTTCATGCTCGTTCCCATGTTACATATATCGCATTCCTGTAGTACAGTAGACGTATCATGGGTCCAATCTCATAGTAAATTTACACTTTAATACAAAAAAAAAAAGAAATACTTGTGTATTCATTGTGCTATTTATTCATCCTAACACTGTATACATTGTATTTAAAACCCAAATTCTTTAGTTACACAAAAGGTAATAATATACTCTTAAGAGCCACGACACGGTGCTTTTTTGAGCATTTAGAGTAATTAAAAACTATATAATCTGAATCCACAATTTTATAACAAGATAGCAATAAAGGCTTATTACAGAAAACGTATTTTTAAAAACTTGTTATCACTTGCAAATTGACATCATATTGAACATTTCAAACATTTTTTCCTGCAATCTGGATGTTTAATTTTGTGAATGAAAATTTCCCAAATAGTTGTCTGTACTGAACACGATGGATCAATCAGCATACATTGTGTAATATTTTTAGCCCATTTCTTGTGTTGAACTTTTTGGTTCCTGAAAGCTGTATAACCTTAGCTTTTATGGTTACGAGTTAGTTGTTGCTTACACTCGAATTCAAAGAATGTTTTGGGTTGATAAATTCCTAAATTTGGAATGGTATCTCTTCCAACTGCTTTATTTAAATTTTTGATTTTATAAAAATATTGGTCACAAAATCCCTCATCTTCACTGGACTTTGGATTTCAATGGTTCTGGAGTTCAGTGTGATATGAAACAGAACAAACAGTTTCTTGAAAATTGTCCGCAGTGGTTTGTAATTGTAATATGAAGTACTGATTTGTGTTTGTTTATAACTGGAGATACAACATGAATGTAGGCGTTCCGTGTCTTCTTTCTTTTTCTTTTTTTTGCCATATTTTTCAGTTCATTAACCTGAAATGATAAAGTATAAAATGCAAAATTAATTATTCATGGTGAAAAATTAGTTAAATATAAAAATGACTATAGATTTTCTAATGAAGCTTCACATACCTTAAAGGCACCCTTACAGTATTATTGGTTTACAATTTTGCTGCCCGTTTCATAATAGAAAATTAATTTAAGAAATATACATACATATATATATATATATATATATATATATATATAATTAATTTGTGATATATATGTATATATATTTTAATGTGTTAAATATGTTATGTTACTAAAATATTATATATTATATTATATTATTATTTCTTTATATGTATGTATGTATATATGTATTTACATTTGTTTATATTTTATTTATATTGTTTATTAATTTGTATAGAATGTATAAAATGCATTAATATTATTTAATATACTGTAGTTAATAGCATAAATATTACATATATAAAAATTAAATAATTTATTGATATATATTTTGTTGTTATATATTTATATTGTTGCCATATATTTATTATATATTTATATTTATTATATTATATTATTATTTATTTATATGTATGTATATATATATAAGTATTTACATTTGTTTATATTTTATTTATATTGTTTATTGATTTGTATAGAATGTATAGAATGCATTAATATTATTTAATATACTGTAGTTAATAGCATAAATATTACATATATAAAAATTAAATAATTTATTCATATATATTTTGTTGTTATATATTTATATTGTTGCCATATATTTATTATATATTTATATTTATTATTATTTTTAACATGTATAACGACTAATGAAAAATGCATATATCATAACACTAGATCATACCTGATCATAGGTAACTATCACAAGTCCAGCTGCAGGCCGATTCAAGAGTCCCCACTTGCTAGAGATTTTATTAACTGAACTGTAAAATGTAGTAGTAGTAGGGCATAGGCCTAAGCCTAACTATGCCTAGATACAATATAGGTCGTTTAGCCAGATATATTTACCTACCTAGCCTAGGCGGCCCTGTAGTTTCATTAGCAATAGTCCTACTACTTACCTAGTTACAACATGTTTTTTTTTTTAACTTTTTATGTATAACCATGGCTACTGAAATGACCGTGCATCAGCCGAATGTAGTACAATTGTTTTCAGTGTGATTAATCTGCTCAATAAACAATTTTAATTACTTGTGCAAATATAAAGATGTGGGTAACACATATCTTTATATACGACTTTTCATGGATCTCGACCAGCTATGTAGGCCCTCTTTAGGCTAGACGCGCATAGACGGTTGGAAGCGACGATCGAAGAAAAACAGTTAAGCAAGCCAAGGACTTCGCTAACTTCCATTCCTCAGTATTAAAATCCTTCCATTGATGGGCACTGTCTAAAACTTTCTCCCAGCTTATCTCTGAAAAGATTGTAACCTTTTCGTCTGCAGTTGGCTCAAGATGAATTACACAGGAGCCAGTGAGCTTCCATGACGGCCCAGGCTCGGACATGACACGTTGTTGTTTGTTGTTATATCGCGACGTCATCAACAAGTACAATACATTCATTATCATCCACCATCAACTAAACTGCCTTAAAGAAAAAAAAAATGGTTCGTGTGGGAATCGAACACACAACCTCCATGTTTGCTATTCATTATCCACCATCAACTAAACTGCCTTAAAAAAAAAATTACAAAAAAAATGGCTCGTGTGGGAATCGAACTCACGCCCTTAAAAAAAAAAAAAAAATAAAATAAAGAATTTTTTTAAAAAAATTCTTGCCCCGTGTGGGAATCGAACCCACGATCGCTGAGTTTACTACCCCTGATCCAGCCATGACTAAACGGAGGGAGGTAAACCGCGGCCCCTAAACCATAAATGCGATAAACCTAGCACCACACCAAGTACCAGTTAGTCAACTCTGATCCTACTAGAAAAAATTCTTTGTATATATACAATGCGGGTTAATAATACGCATGGTAATAGTGTCAAAAAATGGGCCGTGGGCCAAGAGGGTTAATTTTTTTGTCTAAAAATGTAGAATTAAATTTATAATAGATTTTTTATTGTTACCATCTTCATAACTTACGTACTTTTTTTTAAATAGACAAAAATGTTTGAAAAATTCATTATGCAAATTAGAAAAAAATAGACTA